GCGTAGGGTCTGACAATCGGTCCAAGGATTTCATCCCGATACCTAATGGCAGTCAGGGTGCCATTGTTTAGCCTATAGAGGTCTGTGCGTCTCTCCATGGATATGCCTCCCCAAACCATCACTTATCCACCACCAAAACAGTCATGCTGAACAATGTTACAGGTAGCATAATGATTTCCACAGCTTCTCCAGACCCTTTCACTTCTGCCACGTGCTCAGGGTGAACCTGCTCTCATCTGTGAAAAGCACAGGGCACCAGTGGCAAACCTGCCAAGTCTGGTGTTCAATGGAAAATGCCAATTGAGCTCTATGGTGCCGGGCAGTCACCACAGGGCCCACTAGAGGACAAGGACGTTGGGCCCTCAGGCCTTTCTCAGGATGTCTGTTTCTGATTGTTTGGTCAGAGACATTCACACCAGTGGCCTGCTGGAGGTCATTTTTTAGAGCTCTAGCAGTGCTCATCCTGTTCCTCCTTGCACAGAGGAGCAGATACCGGTCCTGCTGATGGGTTAAGGAGCTTCTATGGCCCTGTCCAGCTCTCCCAGAGTAACTGCCTGTCTCCTGGAATCTCCTCCATACTCTTGAGACTAAGCTGGGAAACACATCAAACCTTCTGGCAATGGCATGTATTGATGTGCCATCCTGGAGAAGTTAGACTGCTTGTGTAACCTCTGTAGGGTCCAAGTATCACCTCATGCTACCAGTAGTGACACTGACCCTAGCCCAAATGCAAAATTATTGAAAATCAGTCAGAAAAGATGAGAAAGGAAAAAAATGTCAGTGGCCTCCACCTGTAAAACCATTCCTATTTTGAGGGTCATGTCATTGTTACCCATCTAGTGCACGTGTTAATTTCATTAACACCAAAGCAGCTGAAACCGATTTAACAACCCCCTCTGCTACTGAACTGACCAGATCAATATCCCAGGAGTTTAATTGACTTAATGATATACTCTGATTAACTGCTTCCGCACCCCCCTATAGCAGAAATACTGCTACAGGGCGGCATGGGTGCTCAAAGTCACATATATATATATGTGATTTTGCATCTCCACGTAGGGGGCGTGTGCGCGCCTTACCAGTGCCACCATTTGTGGCCTCAGCTGTCATTCACCAGGTCCCGACCGGTGATTGATCACCGAGTATCTTCGACAGGGGAGAGACCTGTGTATAAACAATACAAATCTCTCCCCTGTCAGCTCCTGCACACTGCAGTGTGCTTACAGTGAAACACAACACACAGCACACTTAGTAAAAACACACACACAGCACACAGTTAACCCTTTGATCACCCTAGATGTTAACCACTTCCTGCCCAGTGCCATTAGTACAGTGTCAGTGCTTTGATCAATGTATTGGTGTCACTGGGGATGTCAGTGACACCAAGTCAGTTCTCCCCAGTGTCAGAATGCCCGCCGCAGTTCTGCAGTCTCGCTATAAGTCGCTGGTTGCCATCATTACTAGTAGAAACTTTTTTTTTTTAAATTCCGGTATCTATACCACCATTTGTAAACACTATAAATTTCACGTAAACCAATTAATTTACACATATTGGATTTTTTTTAGCAAAGATGTAGCAGAATACATTTTGGCCTAAATTTATGACGAAATTTGATTTTTTAAATTTTTTTACTGGACATGTTTAATAGCAAAAAGTCAATAATATTGTTTTTTTTTTTTCACAATTGTCGGTCTTTTTTTTTTTTATAGGTGACACAGGTGATCAAATACCACTGATAGAAAGCTCTATTTGTGGGTAAAAAGATGTAAATTTAATTTGGGTGCAGCGTTGCATGACTGCGCAATTGTCAGTTAAAGTATTGCAGCGTCATATTGCAAAAAAATACTCTGGTCAGGAAGGGGGGGGTAAATGGTTAAAAAGTATTCCTTTAATTTTTTGAGCAGTGTATTTGCTTTGGATTTGTTTGCTATTCTGGTAGAGTACTTATTTGCGAGTTTTGATGCCATCTAGTGGCTTAATTTCATTCTTATTTCATGATTTCTCTTATTTATAACTTTATATTATATGTTTATTAATTTTGTAGTTATAACTTAACATTTTATTACAACAATATAACATTATACCTTCATGCTATTTTTATTTTTAGGATCACTAATAGTAGGAAGAAAAATATTTATTATGTTTTTTAGTGCTTTATCCAGTGCATGCTGTTGTTTATGAAAGTGTCATGAAACGTTTTGCATAGGCTCTAGTATAAAAGAAGACTATAATAGAATATACTTTATTGATATGCATTTTTAGTAGTATAAATAGATTATAGATAGATCAATCCAAAATATCCTAATTTATGATTTATTTATGTATTTTTTTATAGCAAATGTGACCTTTTAACATAGTTTACAGATATTCTATGAATCATTTTATGGTTTTATTCACACCTGTGTGTTGCAGGAATACACACAAAATAGCACACTTTCCCAGGTTGCCCTTTTGTAGACTTGTGAGGACGCAATTAACTCTTACCACAGTATCATGCATTTTTGCACAGTGAGATTTTTAAAATGTGTCAGCCTGGGTTCACGTATATGCGGTGCGGTATATCACATGTGATTCGCACATGAACCACAACGCAATCCTGTGCAAATCACATGTGATTTGTGTGCAGTGTGATTGGAGCCATACATCTTGTATGGCTCCAATCACACCACATCTGCACCAAAAAGTTGCAGGACCCTTTTTTTGGTGCGCACTAGAATCGGATCTCATGAGTATTCACACCCATGCAATCTGCACATCACACCGTGTTTTTGCGGACCAATTTTGGGGGTGTTGTTAACTTAAAATACACACCCGCAGCAGTTCGCATGAACGGGATGCAATTCTGATGCGGTGCGGAATTTGCACTGAAAATACTGTGAATTCCGCACTGCATCAGTGTGAACCCAAGCTCAGGCACCTTTTCTCAGCATAAGGCAACCATTTAAATTAATGGGCTACTCTAAACACACTGAACAGGAACGCACAAAAATCCTGCATGCCTCTAAGCTGCACCTCTGAGATGTGAAAAGAACCTTAACTGCTTCCCACCAAAGCCAATTCTGGCATTTCTCTCCTACATGTAAAATATAAATTTTTTTTGGTTTGAAAATTATTCAGAACTCCCAAACATTATATATATTTTTTAGCAGAGAGCCTTGAGAATAAAATGGCATTGCTTCAATTTTTTATGTCACACAGACAGTATTTGTGCAGCAATTTTTCAAACACAATTTTTTTGGAAAAAATACACTTTAATGATTTTTAATGAAAAAAAACCCCACAATAAATAACCCAATTTTTTTGTAAAATATAAAAGATGATGTTACGCTCCTCTATGCTGGAAAGCATGAGATTAAAAAAAAATCATCTCAGGCTTTCCAGCAAAAAAATTTCAGTGATTACATTTGCCAGAGCCGGAAGTGACATCATGATGTTGCTTTTAGACTTCCAGAATCATAGAGATGCCCAGTCCATGGCCAGCTCTATGGTAACCCAGTGGATCGGTTCTCCCACTCCTGAACGCATGGGAGAACATGGAGATGTGCCGTTGGGCGGCATCCCCCACACCCTTAAAAGCAATCCAGTGGTAGCTGCAGGCATCATTCAGATATCTCCACTCAAACCCAAGGACGTCATATGATGTCATGTGGGCGGCAGGGGGTTAAAGTGCACCTGTGCCCAGGCTATGGACATTGACCACTTGCTGACCATGCACTGTAGCTTTACTGCTACAGTGCAGGCTGGCTGTGCAGAATCACATATATATAGGTGATTTGGCTTTTCCGAGTAAGGGGCACACATGTGCATGTCTACTTGCGCTGTCACTGGTTCTTTTAGATGCAGATCAGCACGTCCCGGCCAATGATTCACAGGAGAGAGATCTGTGTTGGTAAACAACACAAATCTCTCTACTGACAGCAGGGATTTCCAGTCACATCGCTTAGTAAAACAGCATATATTGCACACATTACACATAGGTTAGGCACACAGTTAACCCTTTGATTGCACCAGATGTTACCCCTTCCTGCCCAGTGTCATTAATACAGTTTCAGCGCATTTTTTAGCACCAATCACTGTATTAGTGTCACTGGTGATGTCAGTTAGCCAGTGTCAGAATGCCCGCCGTACTATCAAAGTCCTGCTATAAGTCGCTAATCACCAGCATTACTAGTATAAAAAAAAATTCCGGTAGCTATACCCTAATTTGTAGACGCTATAACTTTCACACACACCAATTAATGTAGACTTATTGGGATTTTTTTCACCAAAGACATGTTGCAGAATACATGTAGCAGAATACATGTTGGCCTAAATTTATGAAGACATTTTGTAAATTATTTTTTATTGGATATGTTTTTTAGCAAAAGGTAAAAAATGTGTAAAATAGTTTTTTTTCTCAAAATTCTGGGTCTTTTTTCATTTATATCACATAAAATAAAAAAACAGGTGGTGATCAAATACCACCAAAAGAAAGCTCTATTTGTGTGAAAAATTATATAAATTTCATTTGTGTACGGTGTTGCATGACCACACAACTGTCAGGTAAATTAGTGCAGCTAATAGAAACCCCCTTCACAGAATTGCATGCCATTGCTCAGTTCTCTATTTCCCATATGTAAAAGTGTCTCTTGCAGACAATAATAGACTTCAGTTTCAAGAATATTGATGTTGAAAGAGAAAAAGGAAAGTGCCTCTAAGTGCAGCAAGACTGATTTGTTGATGGTTAAAAATTAGGGCCAGTCACATGTGTAATACAAAACTGTCTCCTTTATTGTAATTACCACAGTCTTTGCTGCACTTAGAGGCGCTTTCTTTTTTCTCTTTTGGTACTACACCAGAGTTTGCTTCTGCTCTCAGAGAACCTGCTCAGTACCTGGACTACTTCTGCAACAAAGACCTTTATATGGACTTTAATTCTGACAGTTATCCTGGACTTTCTCTGTATTCTCATTTCCAAAGAATATTGATATTTAACAAAGCTATTAATTTTTTTGAACAGGATCCGAAAGTATTTTTACCACAACTGGATGTGTAACAACATCAGACTGCAACAGGACCGCCCAACTAACAGGAGTCATGAAATTGTTCACCTACAATGCTACATGCTGCAACTCAGACAACTGTAATGGGGGCTTTGCGGTTCAAGCGCCTCACATCACCATCCTGACATTACTTGCCATCTTTGTTGTCTATGTTATATTATTAGGACCACAATAATGTTATATTAAGACCGTTATAAACATAGAATGTGACTCATGTATATCCTATGTTACAATTTACATTAATATCACACAGCATTTACTTACATGTTTTTAACTCATGATAATCAGTGTTTCATTCATTTGATAATAAAAAGTGGCCGATGCACAAAGTTTAACATGAAGCTGTATTAATAGTCTTGCTGAGATGGATAAATACTACATAAAAGAATAATAGAGTGCATGTCATGTGACCAAGTGCAAAGGCTTCCAAACATGGCCAAAACTAAACTGAATACCTTTTTCTCCAGTAAATGTTGACACTTCAGGACTTCTTCTTTTCTTTGTAAAAGCTGAGACCCTAGAGAATAAATTGGTGGGTTTTGCAATTTTGTTATGTCACACGGTAATTGGGGAGTGGTTTTTCAAACCCAATTTTTGGGGAAGAAATACACAATACATAACACAATTTTTCTTAAAATAGAAAACATGATGTTACACCGAGTAAATAAATACCAAATGTCATGCTTTAAAATAGCGCTCGCCCTTGCAACGCCGACAAGTTGATGCTTTACAGTTTACCACTTTAGATTTATAGAGAAGGTCTGGTGCTAGAATTACTGATCTGACATTCGTGACAATACCTCATGTGTGGGACGATGGCTGTTTGTGTGTGTGTGCGGCTGATGCCTGCATTCACCTTTGCGCGCAAGCACAGGGGGACGGGGGCATTTTTTTTTTTTACACTTTCACTTTAATTTTTTTATCACTTTTATTGCTGTCACAAGGAATGTAAACATCACTTGTGACAGCAATAGGCATGTGACAGGTATTCTTTATGGAGGGATCTGGGGTCAGTAAGATCCCAAATCCCTCCTCTGCCTTTAAAAGCATTTAATCACACCACGATAGGTGTGATTGAATGCTCTTCTTTTTTAAAAATAGCGCAGTTTATTTCCAAGCACACTGGACGTTATGTAAGGTTATTGTCACTATATCATAAAGCCCAACAGAGCCAATCTGGTCTTGTCGATTAGGACCCCCTGTGGAACAGGAGATCCCATTACAGCCAAGGACTGTGGCAGGAGGGGGGACATCCCCTCCCACTGCTTGTAATAGCAGTCGAGTGCGCGGCTCTGATTGCTATTACAAGAGAGCTGACCATCACCTCTAAATGCAGCTGCAGGCATCATCCTGGTATAATGGCTCAAACTCCAGCGACGTACGGGTACAATGCTGCAGCCGAAGTGGATATCTATCCCAGCAAAATTGTTAGCTTTGTGTAAACTTTTGAGCATAGGTCCACTTTAGAGGACAATTTTACTCAAACTTTTTACTTTTTTATTGTAGATGGATGCTGGTGGGGGAAATCATTCCTGGATTTTTATAGTTCCACACCAGAAATCATGACTTCCCTGTCCCTCAAAGACAATGCTGTTTTAATAATGTAGAGCACATAGGAAATCCAGAGCTGAAACTGAATACTCCTTGAAAACTGCATACATGGTCATTTTGGAATCTACAATTTCAAATGTGTTTGGAAAGTGCTTTGAAAATGAGGATAGTGTTTGTCACCGAATTTCATCTCAGGGTAGCTAGGACCAGCATTTTCAGTTGCATCTGTACTGCATTTCCAATTCCATCTTTCCTCGAGGGAGATACAGTATAAGAAGCTGGGGTTAATTTAACCCATGTGTGCCCTGTTTTTACAAAACAAAAAATTAAAAATATGTTTTAGATGTACTGAACCATTACTGAACCATTACTGGATGAAAAAGTCTTATAGGATCATGTACACTGAGTACGCCTCTTTTAGGCAAATAACTATATAAGTACATTTTCAGTCTATACTCTATTTCCTCCCACACAGTTAATACACACACACCTATTTGCAATGAACTCCATTAATTTGGAAGAGTATAGGGAAGGTGGGCTATGTAATGACCACATATTTATTCAGTTGTTACCAGAAAAAACTCTACAATGGCTGCTTTCTGTCTATCAATCACACGTCTTAATGGAGGTACTGGAGATTATCTACTTAGGTTCCATATTAGTGTGGTAACCCAAGCCATAACTAAAATGAGCCTTTTCTTTGCCACATTTCCACATATTTTATAACTTTGCCTCTAAAACGTTTATACCCTGTGAAAACATGGATAAACACAAACCACTGATTCACTAACCAAAGTTTCTTTAAAATGGAGACACAAGTATGCTCCTTATCAAGAATCTCAAACATGCATGTTGTGTTACAAATAAATAATTTTTCGATAATTGTAGTAGCTTCCTCACCAGTGTATTTCCTATATCTTCATGTAGGTGTCAGATACATCCTAGCACTAAGCCCTGAACACCCCTGAGAAGGTTTATCTACACCACACATGGGCCTTTCCTTCATAGCCTTTTTCTTTCTTTGACCTTGTTGGAATAAAATGTCAAATCAAATTGAAAATGTTATTATGTTTATCCTTGGTTTAGAGCTAGAAAACTTAGTGCCTATCTCCAGGGAAAACAAAACCTCTACCCCCGTATAGCAAGGGTTGAATGCTTGTTTACATCTAAGGGACCAGAAATGCACTTTTAGTTACCTGATCCCTGCTTCCATACAGCTGGCACTCCCCCACGCTCAGGCAGTGACTGTGCCTTGACGTCCTCACGTCTAGATCAGGGCCATGGGCACCGCATGGTGCTTGATGACTTTAGAAGACCTGCAACCACTGGAACATAGAGGAGAAGAGGCTGTGGGAATTGGTCTAGCAATGTGGAGGGAGCCTGTGGAAGTTAAACACCCCAGAAGGGACGCAGACAGCAAAAAAACTTGACAAAGTCTAACCATTTACTACTAGGTTTGATAAGCCAAGGGTTTGCCAAATCTTGTTCAAAGTTTGCCAAACATGAACTTAGAGATAGCTCTTATTGAAGTCAACAGTTGGTGAAATTTGTTGTTAAATTCTGGCCTTTTTATTGGTAATAGGCAAACTACTGTCAATAGAAGACAGGGGAAGCTTGGTGCTACCATGGGAAAATATACTAGTCCAAGAAAAAAATAAATAAAATATATATATATATATGCCAAAAGCACCAAAACCTGGTTCAATGACCGTGGGATTACTGTGCTTGATTGGCCAGCAAACTCGCCTGACCTGAACCCCATAGAGAACCTATGGGGCATTGCCAAGAGAAAGATGAGAGACATGAGACCGAACAATGCAGAAGAGCTGAAGGCTGCTATTGAAGCATCCTGGTCTTCCATAACACTTCAGCAGTGCCACAGGCTGATAGCTTCCATGCCACGCCGCATTGAGGCAGTAATTGCTGCAAAAGGGGCCCAAACCAAGTACTGAGTACATATGCATGCTTCTACTTTTCAGAGGTCCGATATTGTTCTATGTACAATCCTTGTTTTATTGATTGCATGTAATATTCTAAGTTTCTGAGATTGTGGATTTGGGGTTTTCATGAGCTGTAAGCCATAATCATCACAATTATGACAAATCACGGTTTGAACTATCTTGCTTTGCATGTAATGAGTCTATCTCATATATCAGTTTCACCTTTTAAGTTGCATTACTGAAATAAATGAACTTTTTCACGATATTCTAATTTTTCGAGTTTCACCTGTATATATAGTACAGCAGGAAGAGGGTAATTTCATTGAGCTTCGAAGTTAACATTGAAAATATACAAGACCATTAGCAACATGTTTGAGGGATGCCCTTAATTTGTATATAGTTGTACAATAAAGAACAGCGTGATTTTCACAGACACTCTGAGCACAAGCGTACACTGGCAATGCATATTTGGCTGTGGAATTAGCTTGGCTTATAAACAGCACTATCACCCCAATCTGATTTATTTCAGGTTGAAAGAAAGGGTTTTTCAGGTATTTTTAGCATGCTTTTCATCAAACAGCAGCAAACCCACTTTGACTGGTGGTGGTTGTCTCTGATGCAAAACTATCCTGCCTCTGGCCAATTTCTATTAGGATCTAATTAACAATAAGGGAACTGTTGATGATACAGGAGTGTAAAATTGGCCATCACTGTTTTTTATTTTTCTATAAAAAGGAAGAAGACCAAAACTTCTGAAAGAAAGCCTGTTTCACTTAGTTTTTGTTTTAAGCATATCAAATACAAATACCAGAACTAAGGAAAAAAAACCCAAATTACCTCTTTTTTGAAAGCAGACACCCCAAGGTAATCACATTTTTTGCAACAATTATTTGTAAAAGAAGAAACATGTTGGTATTGAGGTTAAGGGTTTAATGTACAGATCACATACTGTGGAAGCATGGAGTTCAAGAGGTTGTTGCGCATATATATAGGATATGGGGGGTGAAGGGTCAACATACAGGTTGCATACAGAGACAGACTGGAGATCAGATGTACAAGAGAGGAGGGAATGAAAAGGTTAAAGAAACAACCCTGAAGAAAAGAGACAGGAGGCTCCCATCTGAGTGTAGTAATAACACTGTATTTAATAGCAAAGGATTAAAAACACTCACAAAGGAAGTAATAAAACAAGCTCATCTGTGTATATAAGAGATGACCATTCCTCAAAACGTCCTACAGGCGCCACTGGTGGTTGGTACAATAGTAGCTGGGCTGATGGAGATGGGGAAAGACATTGTAGTGGTCAATCCTACAGAGTGGTGGTGTTTTAGAGCCGATCCAGCAGCGTTTGTGCAGGAAGGAGCCTAGTAACCAGCATGGAACACTCCAGCAGGATGTGAAGCTAGATACTTTGGTTAAGGCCTCCTTAGACCATATTACTACAGTTGTAATACTGTTGGTGATGGATATATATATCATGGTGTGGCAGCACCCAAATATTGCAAGAGTTCCCCTTTAAACTTTACCATTTCTAACAGCCTGTTTGCAAGGGTCATCACTTCCCCCCTCCTTATTTCCTGTGATGTAATGTGTTCCAGTCTGTAGCTGGTACTCATTTTTAGCTGGAGATAAATTATCTAGCAAGGCCATATTTTGTATGGCTCAAATTTCATGACACAGAAATCGCATGTGAGTTGCACAGGAATGTGGTGCAGTTCCTGTGCCAATCCCATGCGATGTGAGACATCGCATCAGTGTGAACCCGTGCTAAAACCATGATTTTATTCTTCATCAGTGCACCTGTTGAAAAGATGTCCCATTGCTTCCAGTATCAATAGGAAATAAAGAGGAATCTCGTTAATGGGGCAGAGACATCAATAGAACTCTGAAAGAGGTTTTTAACTGGATGGAAATGGCTGTTTAGTTAATTGCTGTCAGTGCCAACCTGTCACAGTGACACTGGCATATCCTTTTCCAACACAGAGACAGGAAGTGAAGAAAAAATACCCAAGTGGGTCACGGATATAAATTTGGAGTGGTCCAAGCTCCATCAACAACAAATAAACAAAGTACAAACAGCAGAGAAACTAGAACACCAGAGGGAATATAAATACTGCATAGCGGTATTTTTATAACCACGCCCATGTTCCCTGTCCAATCGCTGCCTGTGTGTGCAGTTCAATCACCCAATGGGCAGGCAACACTCAGATCTAGTGCAGTAAGAGGATATTATTTGTCAGTGACGCACTCTCTGATTGGACACGGCAAACACCTATCATTGTTAAGCGCGGAATAAGGAAGTGGAAAGGAACTTCACGGATGATTGAAATGTTTTACACCCAATCAGATGTTCAGGATCGGCTCTGGCCATCGATTCTTTAGCAGAGGGGCGTGTTTTTTGGCGATATAACTGTAGACCCGCCTCGCCCTAGCTCCGCCTCTCCCGCCAGCAGCCCAATCGGTAGTGTTGCGTGGGGGGAAAACGTGCCCTCTGTCAGTGGGCGCCCCGCCCTCTTTGTATTACCAGACGGTGATTGGTCGGGTTGTGTGTTGGAAACGACAGGGCGCCCCTGCTTCCCTCCGGTCTGCTCCGGTGCCGGGCGGCAGTAGAAGGAGCATGGCGGGCGGGAGAGAGAGCCTGTCTCACCGCTGGATCCGAGGAGTGGGGCTGCTCTATTTGTGTATCCGGGGGCCGCGCCTCTACAGAGTCTACCGGCTCAACCATGGCAGAGGCCGGGCCCGGGAGGAAGGCGAGTCCGAGCCTTCCTGGGTGAGAGGACGGGGCATTGTCCGGGGGGGTGTATGGAGGGGGCTGGGATGGGGCACTGCACACCTGTATTGCTGCGATCTCTATGTATGTCAGTGTAAATATTCTACATATGTTACCATACATTATACAGGACATGACAGCTGGGGGCGTTACTAATAGCAACCAGGGAGGCTCCACCCATCATGATAAACAAGGATTCTTTTTGGTTGTTATGGGCAAACACCTCTACTCTTACTCTGTGTTGTTTTTTTATAAATCAGCCCCACAACAATTGACTGACATTATTGTATACAGAACCTTGAGGGTTAGAGACTGAAGTGAATGTACAATATATATGTAAAGCACTGCGTAAACTGACAACGCTATACAAGTACCGGAAATAAATATAGAACTGGGGACACCAGACACCAATAGGATCAGAAGAGCCTTCTCCACATGATCTACTCAGTCCCAGCCTTCCCCCACACAGTACACAATCCTGACCTATAGACTAATGATCTGTGATGGAGCCGAGCAGAGCTGACACCTGGAGCTGAGAACATCCAGAATTCAGTGACAGGTGTATGTGACTTCTAGAGATGAGATCAGGCAAGTTCACATCCTGGTCCAAACCCACCTGACTTATCCCACCTGGAAGATGTCACTGGGCTCCACCAATCATAAGAAGCCGAGGCTTTCTCTACTGCACCATGGCTGCACACATATAAAGGGCATCTAGAAATGCGGCTGCAGGGCAGAGAATGTTTTGACTGTGTTGGATTGGCGGTATACAGTGACAGCTTCCAGGCGGGATGTCAGGTGGGTTTGGACGTAAGCTGGAAATACATGAATTGGTGTTTGTGTCATTTTTTTTTTGTAATCAGTCAGCAGGCAGATCAGAAGGATTGAACATATTCCCCCATCCAGACATTTGAGGTGGATGGAGGAATCCTCCCTGTAGCACTATTGCATTCATGAATTGGGGATCGTATTCATGTTTTTGTTTTTTTTTTGTTTTTTTTTCTGTGTGTTTTGTTTTTATTAATCATCCTGTTGGCTGAATCATCTATGACCAGCTTAAACAACCTGGAAGGAACAAGCAGCATATAGAGTTGAATAAAGTGTAATTTTGTGACACTTCAATATAGTTAGTTAAATAAAAAGAAATAAAAAAACAAAAACCCCATAAACCCTTCGATGCATAATACATCAATAATAACACATTGCACTGCAGCTATACATCACACACATGGGCATGCTTGCCTTTTAGCAGACAGGCTGGTATGAATGAGCCTGGAGTCTAATCCCCATGTAAATGTGTCAGAACTTACTAAGGGGTTAAAGGGTATCCAAACCCAAAAATGTCATATTGCAGCTTACCTGTTCTTTGCAAGTGCTGGCTGCATTAATTTTCCCTTTTTTTCAAGCTTTTTCTTTCTTTTCCCCCAATGAATGGTGGAGGCACTCTATTGGCCGAGGCAGTATATGACTGATGAATCCTAGCTGGGGCAATGGTCAGGAGTGACTAAAAGGAAAAATAAAAATGCCACCCAACAGCAGTAGTCCAGTCCTCATGTGTGCACCATGTCAGAGTAATTTTTCTTTGCTGTGGAGACTTCACTTTACACAATTTGGGGTCTAGGCTACACCTTTAAGGTGCCCCCTGACCAATAAAATACCAATAGTGCCAAGGCTCTATACTATAGTAACAATAATCTGAAAAGGGAATGTGGGAGGAGGAGAGGTGAGAAGTCGGGTTGTGGTCTGCCCCTAGACAGCACTTTTAGTTTCATTTAGTTAGTGCACCGTCACTTTATCAGATTGTACAGTGAAATCTGGTGGTGAAAAAAAAAATAGCTGATTCTACCAGTGTGTGGGCTGGGGAGATCCGCTCTGCCAAGTGTTCCATGAAATAAAACTGGGCCAACTGTTTTCTTTAATAACCCAATAAATCAGTCTAATCGTCTATTTGGAGGCTTTAATTAAAGCATATGGCAATGCCAGAAAAAAAAATGCAGTACATCTCTCATTGCATGCACCTTTACCTGTTCCTGTTATAGGTCTCATACACATGGGCAGAAAATAACTTTTTTTTTTTTTTTTCTTTAGAAGTTCAAATCTTTTTTTTTTTTTTTTTAATCTCTGAGCACAGATCTATATTAACCAATGTGTGCACATTGTGACATTTAGATTCATATTATAGAGCATTTAGGGGCATAAAAGTGGAACAAATGAATCTTCTAGCCAGTAGAGTAAAATTGTGCATGTGAATGTATGTAAGTACACACACACAAACGTACCAGACTGAGCATTTTTTGTTTATACCGGATTTTGCCTCTAGGTCCTGGAAGAAAGATCCCGTGCAAATTGGATTATTTTAATACACCAATGTGCATGCAGCCTTTGGGTCCATGCCCATAGCTCTACTGGGGTGTACAGTGTGCTGAGCCTGCGTAATCGCTTTCCCGGGACCTGTTGCTGCGTGGAGTCTCACATTGAGATGTATTAGAATGTGCTTATTAGGGGTTGCCTAAAGCACCTACACGAACATAGATGTATGCTCCGTACGCACATGACTGGGGTGTGCAGGTGCTCTACTCCGTCCCTAGAGCTTAACCACATACAGCCACATCTCCTAATACATCCCAATGGGAGACTGTGTGCCGCAGCTGTGGGTCCCAGGAAAGTAATTACAGAGGCTCTGCTTGTAGTATGGTCATGTACATGAAGTCTTACCCTTTCACTGCCACAGTAAAAGCTGCTTGGAATGTAAATAAACTTGCTGCTGTATTAGAAGGCATTTTTATTTTTTTCTAAGCCATCTTTCTGGTGGCCATATAGAAGTGATTTGGGTGGAGACTGCAAAACGCAAATGTATTGAGCATGAGTACATAAATGATGATTGTACAACACATGTACATATTGCCATACATGCCATAGTAAGAAGAATAATTCTGGGACTATTATTTGTGGTTCCCGCTTCCCCTCTCTCCATCTCTTCCCCCCCTTAGAAATTAATTTATAAAGCAATATTTACTACTTTTTTAAAATTTACAGTAAAATACAGTTTATCGGTTTTCAACAATTGTTTGGTAATTCACTGAAAAACTCTGCTAAAATACCACATGAGCTATTTTATGAAGTCATTGCAGCATTTTAGTAGTGAAAGCTAGCAGTATTTTATTGTCGGCAGTCGCTAGTGTCCCTAATCAGTAAATAACTGGCTGTGAAGGAGATGGCGTCCACCACGTCCTTAACAACCATGACTTATCTAGTGTCTGCGGGATTTCCAGCTGACAACAGAATACAAACTGACATAAAGAAGCGCTGAAATAAAGAATAAAAAACACCGTGGGGGTCCCTCCAATCTATACAAGGCCCTTACAGCTGAATGACAGCCCTGCCTCCTGCCTGCCACTAAATAAAGCAAGGTGATGTCATTGGGTGACCTCCGCCTCTTATGATATCATTGACTGCGACATGATCCCCCAAAGCACCCACCCCTATGTTAAGGGCATGTGGCTTGCTATGGTTCAAGAGGGGAATGCTTGCTCATTTCCCCCCTTTCTTGGCCTGTCAGGCTGCATGCTGAAATAAGGGTCTGGTATGTATTTTGGGAGAACCCCATGCCACTTATTTATTTTTATTTTATTTTTTTTTTTTTTAATCTTGGCATGAGGTTCTTCTCAAAATTCATTCCAGACCTGAAAGGCCTAGTATAGATGGGGTGCACACAATTTTTTTATTCTGGCACTTTTATTTGCTTATATTCTGCTGTCACTGAGGAATTCCGCATACAGCAGATGAGTCAAGGTTGAGAAGGATGCAGCAGCTGCCCGCTCCCTAACAACCACCAGTTTACTGGTTGTTAAGGATGCTGGTGGTTTATGGCTCCTTAACAGCCATTAAAAATGAAACATTCCTTTACTATCATAAAATAAAAAAAGTTCAATGCTTAAAACAAGTGCGGTTAATGTAAAAACAGTCATTGCAAATAACACAAAAGTCCACAATGTTACCGGTGAATTCCATAATGAGAAAATGAAAGTGCTAAAAAAAATGTAATCTTCCTCTCAAGTTCAAGGAATATGTGCAAAAAAACACTGTGTGCTCCACCGACCACTCTGAGGCTTAACAGAGAGATTTTGACCCTCCTATGAGAAGTCACAAGTACTTGTTTCCATTAACACAGATCACCACAGGACTTGGCAACTTCTCAGGAACACTTTTCTCATCATCTCAAACAGGGCCAGAGCATTGTGCATAAAAAAAAACTCTTCCAATAGTGTAAAAAAAATTAGATAATGCACATATCACACTGATCAAATAACCCTACACCTTCAATTGCGTATTTAAAAACAAAAGAACAAAAAAAACAAAAGGAGATGTTTATTGTTGGGGTTTACATGCAATGTAACATCTGTATTTTGTATCTTTATCAGGAATCTTTCTATCAGCCCAGAGCTCTGGAAAAGCACACCGATAGTATCTTGGCTTGGGTGAGTTGTGTTTTCCATATAAAAAGGGGATTTTTTACAAAAATCTTTAACAACCCTGGCACCTTACAGTGTCTACTCATCTTGTATACATACAGTATGTATTTATTTATTGCATCTACAAGTTCATTTTAAATATTAACTCCAAGCAGACCCAGATCAATGCAGATCTATCTTTATTTTCACATTAAACATCTTTTTTTAAATGAAAGTAGTGTAAGTACCTGAATTTAACCTGCTTGCAGTCCCTGAGAGAGGGAGAAGCAGATCAAAGATCAAACAGTTGTGCTGTAGTGCAGTGAGCATGCTGATAGGAAGAGAGAGCAGAGTGTTCGTAGAAATGAGCTCAACAATCTACTGTTTCCCCCGCACAGGACAAAGCTTTTAGGTGTTGCTGAACTGCAGCAGAAAAAGATCAGGTCCGTTCCCCTGCCAGAGAGGGCTGTGCTATGTGACAAGGCTGTAAAAAACATCTGTGTATTGAGCTATTTGAATGGAGTATAGCTTTAATATGCAATGATAATAAGTTACTGATGTTTATAAGATGCTTTCCCTGATCATGAATTCACACAGAAACATAATTACAGCTCTAATTGCACTCCAAAGATTGAGGTAACAGCTTTGGAAGGCTTGTGTTCTATTTGTACAGAATGCACATGCTGTCTTTGTGAGCCATCTGCAGTCCTGCACCAATGCATTAGAGTCTGCTATACACACTGCTCCCTGCCAATTTAGCGGTCTCAGAGTGTGCACATTCCTAGATATTTATGACTGCATTGCAAAGCAAACCTGTAATCCTTTTGAGTAGGGATATGCACTGTAATGTTTTAAAAACCTTGTTTCCATGTATAGTTTGTAATTCTATACAGTGCCTGTAAAAAGTATTCAAAGTGGAAATGCATTTTCGTTTCACAAAATCAAGAGAAAATAGACTTATCTGGTTAAGTAAAAAAAAAAAATCAAAACAGAACTCCACAAAGTGATTTAAACTTCTAAAGAAAAAAAAAACACTAGATAATTAATTGCACGGGTATGCACCCCTTTAAGGTGGAACTATGTTCACCTCCAGTCCAGCAATGTGGTGTCCAGGAGTTTCTTCATCAGCCACTGACTTTCCCCCTGGCCTTCTTCAGGGTTCCAATGTTCAGCCCTTGGTTCTTGGTTGGGACTAGATGGCATCTCTTCCACACATGCACGGGAGTTCATTCATCTTAGGAGATGTCAATATTGTACACTGAGCTGCATGTGCAGAGCTAAGTGCAGACAGGTAGGGAAGAAACTCAAATGCAGAAGAGACATAGTAAATGTATATAGGTACCTGTAACAACATTCCAGTAATCTATCAGTCATTTGTCAAGTTGCTGATTGCACATCTTGACATTAGTGACCACTAGAAAGAGAATCTACACCTGTTTGTTTAACTGTTTCCTTGGAGTGCCATTTTAAGTGCTCATGTACACGGGCGTTTACAGTGCTGCAGATTTATAATTCATGTGGATCTGAATGCAGCAGCATTGTATTCTATGGATCCCATGCAAACTTCATCATTTTGGTCTGTAGCATTTAGCTGCATAAACCAGTACTGAAAACTGCATTCTGCAATCCTGTGTTTTGATTTTGTACGCTGTACACATGTACAGCGTTTGTGCTAATGTCCAGTGTACTTGGAGTTTGTTGGCCGCTGCCACTGTTCAGGGCTGACATGTCATTTTCAACACTGGAGTTGATTTACTAAGGCACATAGACTGTGTGTGTACTCTGCAAGTGCAATTGTTCCAGAGCTTAGTAAATGAGTGGAAGCTCTGCCAACTTCCATCTTCCAATCATGTGCAAGCAAAAATGCGTTTTTCTCAACGCACAAGAGAGAACTCGGCTCCTCCTCGCACAGGAAACACACACCCACATAGACTTCAAATTAAAGGCCTCTCCCCACAGTCCTCCGTTAATGTGTTTCCTCCGACCAGGTAGGAACACATAGGAACTGTGGGGACTGCGTTCTTTCAGGTGCTGCCTAATAGAGGTCTCTGTTTTTCTTTTGTACCTGTTTTTTTTGCAGCAAGGGTCCTCCAGTCAGATTCCCAGGTGGGGGGGGCTGTTCCTGGCTCCACTCTCCCTTTTCATTGCTCGGGTAGGGCCACTATTGCCAGAAAGCATGTAGGCCTGTGTGGACAAGTTTTTGGTGTCCAGTGGTGTCTGGGCATGCATGTGAGGTCACTTCCGGTCTTGTTTGTGGCATCCATTCCGGCTGCAGGGGGGGAGAGCGCAGGACCCAGCCAGTGCCTATTTCCGGTCCCGGGCCAGCGCAGCGGCGTTCCAGGACACCGGAACCAGGAGACACAGCCATGTGGACCGTTGCATGGTCTGCGATGGAAGAGTTAGGAGCAACTGCAGTTCCGGGGACAAGCAGAGGCACCAGTAAAGCCCAGGTAGGAGAGGGCTTCCTATAGGCAACTTTTTATGCTGCATTTCTTGTCTGGGTACTGTGGTGTCTTTTCCCCCTGGTGGATGAGGGCTTGTCTTGTGCTCTGGATGCTTGGTGTGTGTGGGATCAGTGCACTGGTGGTGTGGAGGTTTGGGCTCTGGCTGCATTAGGTGCGTTTTTGGTCAGTCAGTGGCTAAGCGATTATGTTCCTTTGTGCTTTGTCTTAGGCTAAGAGCAGTGAAAAGGACTCTAGCAAGAGGAGATATTCTTCATGCAAGAGTAAACTGTCAGATGCTTGGAAAAATCCTTTATGCAAGGAGTTAGTTTCTGCTTTAATGAGAAAGGAGGCAGAGGATTCCTCGGCATCTAAATATAAGCTGTCGTTAGAGGATGTGGAGTATCTCCTTAAAGCGAGTCATACCACCTTAGGCATTAAAGAGGAGGAAAGAGATCTCTCCCTCCATGATAAAATGTACCTGGGCCTTAGTGAATGCAAAGGGAGATGCTTTCCTGTGCATTCAGCCATCTCAGACATGATTAAAAAAAGAATGGCAGGATCCAGAAAGGAAACTTTTTCTTTTCTAGATCTCACAATAGACCGTTCCCGATTGAAGAAGTCTCTGCATCGGTATGGAACAAAGTGCCTAAGGTAGACGCTGCCCCCCCCCCCCCCCCCCCCCCCCCCCCCCCCAAGTCTCAAAAAGCACAGACTTAATCTTTGAAGGCATGTGGAGCCTGAAAGAGGCAATGGACAACAGGATGGATCTGCTGCTGAAGAGAGCATGGCATTCCATAATAAAGAATTTGAAGCCAGATATGGCAGTCACATGTGTAGCAAGAAATCTGGAGCATTGGCTAAACCAGCTTAAAGCGCATATCAGTGTGGGGACCTCAAAGGACGAGATTCTAGATTCCTTCCCTACAATCTCAAGATCTGTAGGGTATATAGCGGATGCCTCTGCAGAATCCATACGCATGACCACTCACTTAGCTGCCTTGTATAACTCGGCAAGAAGGACCTTATGGTTAAAGACATGGCAGGGGGATGTAACATCAAAAGTCAGGCTGTGTGGAATCCCTTTTTCAGGAGATATCCTTTTTGGGTCAGACTTGGTCAATTTTGGATCGCATAGCGGATGTCTTCCTGTGAAGAAGAAAAAAACAAGTTCAAAAATGTTTTTTTTTCATCCCCAGAAAAGCTTGCAAGAGGATAAGCCACAAGGGAAGACAAAGGTTTGGGCACAGCAGAAAGAAAGAGAAAAAGGATTAATCCTATTCCATACTCGTTCACAGCCTGAAAAATGCCAATGACCCACTGCCTCTGGTGGGAGGTGGAGTACAAGCGTTCCTTCCACAATGGGAGAAGATGATGTTGAGCCTGTATATCTGGTCAGCAGGGGTTACGAAATAGAATTTGCAGAGGTCCAAGAAGGTATTTTGTCACGGATATTACAAAAAATTCGGTAAAAGCTCTTGCTTTGAAGAACCTGGTTCAGGAACTGATTTTTCAGAGTGGTGGTTTCAGTCCCATCAGGAGAAGAACAGATGGGGTTTTATTCCAACATATTTTTGGTGGGAAAACCATCAGGAAAATTTCAGTTAATCCTCAACTTAAAACCTTTGAACAGAGCAGTGCAATACCAGCAGTTCCGCATAGACTCGATCTTTTTGGTCAAAAACCTCCTGTTTCCAGATTGCTTCATGGCATCAATCGATCTAAGGGACGCTTATCTGCATATCTCAATCATAGTGCGCTCTCAAAGATTTGAGGCTGGCATTGAGGTCAGGGTATGAGGTTCAACACCTGCAGTTCAGGGCACTGCCTTTCAGGCTGTCATCATCTTCTCGCATTTTCACCAGGGTGATGGCAGAAGTTCCCTTGAGGCGCAGAGGCAAGCTCAGAAGAGCAGTTGAGGAAGGACCTATGGGTGGCCCATAGCCATCTCGAAAGTCTGGGCTGGATCATCAGCATGCTAAAATCCAACCTGACCCCGTCCAAGAAAGTATTGTTTCTGGGCTTCTGCATCTGTTCAGCAGAACAGAAAAGACGTAGAAAATACAGACGGCTTTGACTCTTCAGGGCAACCACCAGGTTTCAATCCTTCTGTTGTCAGCTTTTGGCCTGTTAAAAGCCTCCATTCCTGCAGTCCAGTGGGCAAGAATACACTTCAGACCCCTTCAGCTATTCATCTTCAGAATTTGGAACTGAGACTTTGTCGTGCTGGACAAGAAGGTAAGGGTTCTTTCCAGGGTGAAGAGATCTCTCTGGTAGTGGAAGAGGCAGGAGGTGCTCTCAAAAGGTCTAACCTGGTCCTTTCCAGTAGAAAGGATCCTCACCATGGATGCCAGCCCTCGGGAGGTCCACTCTCAGAGGGGCAGTGGACGAGGCTGCATAGGTCAAACTCTTCAAACTGGAGAGAGTTAAAGGCGATTGCTTTGGCTCTCTTGGCTTTCTTTCAGGAGCTCCAAGGTCAGCACATGCAGGTCTGTATAGACAATGCCACAGCAGTAGCCTATGTAAACAGGCAAGGCGGCACAAGAAGCAGGACTCTTCAAAGTCTAGCGGAATAAATTTTGTCTTGGGCAGAAGTCAGTTTGGCATCTTTGTCAGCAGTCCATCTCAAAGGCTCTCTGAACCTGGTAGCTGAGCTGATGCCCACAGGGGAGGAGTGTGCAGATGACATCACGACGTTGCCATTTATTGGAATAGCAGCTTGTAGTACTCTACATACGGCTCTTGAAACGACATTACAGCAGGCAATAGCATTCATTTAGTGGGCTTGTGCTTTGCATTGCATTATGGATGGTGTCTGTTTTGAGCTTGTACAGGACTCTGCGCTGAGATGATACTGCCATATTGTGTTTAATCAGTACATCACTGGATTTTCATCTTACTTGGTGCAAAGTACACCTCCGGAACGTTAGTGTATTTCATATGTTTTAATTGATGAATAAAAGTTTAAAAGGATAAAGCACTATGTTGGGTTTTTTTTTTTTTTTTTTTTGTGAGAAATATGGCTGATACAAAGATGCTTATCAGGAGGGAGCTTACTTTGGAGTCTTCATTCAGCAAGCTGATCTTCTGAGTCCATATGGGACCAAAAGTGTAGTTAGACTAACATTGTATAATGTGCGGTCACACTGCGTGACGTGAGCAGATATATGGTGGAGGATGTCTTTGCACGGGAATTGATGACAGATGCACATATTTTTCGTTACCCAAAGGAGGGTTCACTGAATGAACACTTTATTGATTGAACTTGATTTTTTTAATGACTTTTATTTTGATTCCCACTTAAAATATTTTTTATTTTTTGTGTGGGTTGTCTGCATTAGCGGCTACAATATTTAATTGTAATTTTTTGTTTTTATTTCACCATAGTTGGCGCTTGAGTTATTCAATTTATTTTATAATTGTGCAGCAGTGCTGTCACCCTGGGAACAGAGTGGTTTTAGATGGACAAATAAATTTACAGGTTTACGGCAGCTAATACTATTTACCAATTGCAGTAAAAGGTGTTTTTTTAGTTTTGTTTTGTTTTTCCTTTTGGAAAAGCACCATGTACACAGTCATCTAAAGTTTTCACTTTTATTTCTTTCTCTGTTCCAGGTGTCCGTCCTTTGGACCATTTCTTACTATTCTTCCCCACTTGCTGCCTTTTACATGTACCGAAAAGGTAAGCTAGATCAGGGATTGACTTTAATGTTCCCATCAGAGTGGAAAAATATTTAAATCTGATTGGATGTGAAGGGTAACACATTGGTCTACTTTTACATTGTTCGAAAGACAAACTCCATAGTATAAGCAGTGTAAGAAAAAAAAAAAACACAGCACTTTGCTGATTATTTGCTGTTTGTTGCAGGACATATGACCGTCACCAGGCTGGTACTCCTAGGACAGTACGGCATGACACTGCTTTTCCTGCTGGCGGGGGTGGCGTGTCTGAGAGGTGAGAGACTTTAAAGAAGAAAAACCTGTGTTCAGTAGAGCGATAGCTGTATTGGAACTGACAGGCAGATCTCCTCCTACAGTGGTCTAGCTTTGACAATCCGAGTTGTGCTTTTTTTTTAGCTGAGCTGTCATAGATCTAAGTAAATTTTCTACATGTTCCTGTGAAGAATCCACCAGAAGGCAAGTGTCAGAGCATATGTGGGACCTTGTAGTAGCTTCTTCATTGACCGCTTGACTTGTGACTGTCTGTCAGGGCAAAGCCATTCGAATTTTACAGCGTGCCAGGGTTGGGTCCTGGAAGGCAGATATGTTTCCCTGTTATTTGGGTTGTAGTCTCTATTAAAGGGGGCGATAAGAGATATATATATATATATATATATATATATATATATATATATATATATATATATATATATATATATATATATATATAATAATATAATTTTTTTTTTTTTTTTTTTTAATAGACAGGTGTTTTCACCCATCCAGGGTGAGGGTTTCTGGGGTGTCTGGTTGCAGAGGAGAAAACTGATTTATAGTTCTCTGAATTCCAGGTCTCAGAACCGATCCTAAGAGGATATTAGAGACTTTGGGTGGGAAATTGCCTCCAACTCTGACTAAAAGGAGTTTAGTCCTGAAAGGGGTAACCTGCCTGCAGAGAAGCATGAAAGGGAATAGGAAACTGTTAGCAGGTGTCTGTGAGGTGGAGTGTGGAGCAGCACCAGTTGAGAAGACTGTAGGCTGTTTATTGGGTGGGACCCTGCTCTTGCAACCTTTTCCGGACCCTTAGGACAGGCAGTACTTTAAAATCCCTGGGATAAGGGTTAATGGCGGTAAGCCATTTTTTTTTACTTTTTGGAGTAGTAGAAGTGGATGAGCTATTTGGTTTGTTTGTTTTTTTTTCAATGCTGTTGGTAAGCTCTTTTTCTGTTTTTGCCTGCTTTTGAAAATACAAGGACTGTTTTAAAACAAGTCAGCTGGTTGATTATATCTGGCTCCCCCGTATTACACTCCCCATTCAAAATGGGTGGACCCCAGTATTTGGTAGAGTCTGATTTATTGGTTCGCAAACCAAGTATTCATTTTGCCTTGGCATATTTCTCCTGCCTTTTTCACTGATCAGGTATGGATAATCTTATCTTTTACATTTTTAAAACACACATCCATCTCATTCTTTGCAGGTTTGGGCAGATGGACCAACCCTCAATATATTCAGTTTATAAGCATTTTACAGAGCACCAGAATGGATAACTGTCCAGAAAACAAGGTAATTTCGCTGTTTTACTGTACGTATGCACTAGTCGCAATACCTAAAACAAAAAAAGTTTGTGTGTGTTATTCCCAACTGTGTGTAGCTCAATGAGCAGATCAGCATGGCTGTCTCTGGTCTGGACTGGTGTAGCCCAAATCTTGCTGCAGCATTTAACTTCTCTTGTTAGTGCCCAAGAGTAATTGTTTTCCACTATGAGATGCCCTCAATCTTCAGGATTGAGTTAAGGGTTAGGTAGGTGGACTGGTATAAATTTTAAATGCATTTCTTCACTTGCTTTCCAAAAGACCAAAACACAAAATCAAGAAGCATTTGTTTTTTTATTTGGCCAAAATATGTTAGGTCACTAACTGCGCCAAGGATTCTCATTTCTGATAGGTCATACACTAGCACTTTACACAGTAGAAAAAACTGAAGCTTTTTATGGGTTACATGAGCACAGTCCAAGACAACACCCAGTTAATCCCATTTATTGTTAATAGCAAAATGCTAAAATATAAAAGCAGCTGTTTCTGGATGGACAATGCTTTTAAACCAGGTGTTGCCATTTTTAAGCAGGTGGGCTGGTATGCATTTTAAACGTATGTATGTTTTCTCCTACTTCCCACAAGGCAGCACAAAATCATGGGGTATTAGTTTGCATTGTGGCCGAAATACATAAATTCTTAAGTCCCAGGTTTCTTGTTATATTATGCTAAGAAGATTTTTTTTTTACGGATGTGAATTTTGTTATGAAGTACACTTGTAGCCACGTGTATGTTGTAGAAACCAGGAGCTCAGGTGACACCAACCTGACAATATTTCAATCTCATTCACAGAAACTGCTTTCCAATTACAACTTCGACTTTCGCAGTTGGCCAGTGGATTTCCGATGGGATGAGACAAGCAAGTAAGACATCCTGTCTAAGTTTGTAGGCAGATTTGTGGGGAAAAGCCAAATAGGTTTTGGCAAACGCCACTGCTGTTGGGTAGTATACTGACTTCTGTCTGCATTGTGTAGAAAAGCTAATAAATGTAGAGCATAAATAGAGAGTTGTCCATAGCCACTTGTAGTGTTAGAAAAAATGAGAAATTTGTTTAGTTTCTTAAAATAGAATTCCTGCCTAACACTAACCTAACCTTAAAAATGTCCCCTCCCCCTTGTGCTACCTATGATGCCTAACCTTTGGGGGGAAAAACGAAAAGAAGTGTATAATTACTAATTTTCAGCCTGCTCTGGTCACATCATCCCCTTTTGTCCCCTTCTTCTTTTTTTTTTTTACACAGGTTACTCAGCATAGTTAGGAGGAGGAGACACATTTTTTGTGTAAATGAGTAATTTAAAGCCGACCACTGGGGGAGAAAAAAAATATGTCTAATGATAGGTGTCCCATGTGTGGATGGTTCTTCATTAGGGAAAACTATTAATTTAATTCACCCTGCACACTACTGTAAGTTCTGAATTCTGGCGCTGAGACTTGAAGTTTTGGTTTTCATGTAGTAAAGGATAGTGGGTTTCTCGCTCTCCACCTTGCTGTTACCTCATCCATTTACAAAACATCTTGAATTGTTTTCATAGACTCACTCCAAGTGGCTGCCTTGTTACCTAAATACTTCCCTTCAGCCTTACTCATGGGCTCTTCACTATGTTGCCTTGCCTGTTACTGCACAGTCTTTGCAGAAACAGTGCTACGTTTAGCCTCTACTTCACATTTCCCCTCAGACCATTCATTCCTATGGCTGGTCTGTACTCTTGGCCAACACCCAGCAATTCAGAGGAGTGCAGATTCAGCCATAGGTGCCACTAATGTGACAGGTGTAGGTGACTTGAGAAAAAGGTTCTTATCCCAAAACATTGTGATATTCACATCCACCTGCTTCTGAGTGTCTGCACACCAGTGAGATATTTCTCTGGTATTAATTTTAGGATTTTTTTCTTTACACTTACATTGATTGTCATCCATTTCCCTGTCTCTGCAGTAAAGATCAGAAGACAGAAAAGTCATCAGGTGGGGTGTCATTGCTGAAATCAGAGCCTCGAACACGGGGAGCTGCTGACAGCCTATTGCAGCGGGTGCAGAAGCTCCCATGTCAGATAACCAGGTAAAGGATTTGTCCTCTCTCAGCTGCAAAAAGTTGTAGGATTGCACATTCCCCTGTCCCCTGCCCCCTTTCATTAGTTTACATTATGACTGTATATTATGCTGATCTATTAAAATTGAATGCTGCTGCTTCTTTTGTAGCTATATTGTAGCTCATTCATTTGGCCGACGGATGCTGTACCCTGGCTCTGTGTACCTCTTACAGAAGGCGCTCATGCCCATGTTATTACAGGGTCAGGCTCGTCTGGTGGAAGAGGTAACATATCTCTCTTCTTTTCTCTTGGTACCAAGAGCTCTTTAACAGTATTACCACTGCTGCTCTGCCTCTACTTCATCTAGGCCAAATTTGTTCTATATTTCTGATTACAGTATCATGGGAAGCGAGCCAAGCTGCTGGCGTGTGATGGAAATGAAATAGACACCATATTTGTAGACCGCAGGAGCACCGGGGGCAGCACTGGATCAAAGTTGGTAAGTACAACATACAGTGACAGTTTAACCATGTAAATTGGCTCCCCATAGCCTTGACATTTGAATTACAGGTTCACCATGATAACCTTGTCTACATGTACTGCATTTACTGTCTTCATGTTTATTAATAAATACCTTTTTTTTTATTTTATATTTCTTTATTGTACATCACGGGACACAGAGCACGCTATTCATGACTATGTGGGTTATATGCCACTATAGATGAATGGACATGGGCCAACCAATCAGAGAGGAGGTCCACCCCTATATAACCCCTCCTACACAGGCAGTACTTCAGTTTTTTTGCCAGTCTCTGTAAGGTGGATGGTAACTGAAAGTGTTGCTTGTGCTGCTGGAGCATACCTAAGGTCTAGTACAGTTCCTTTGAGAATCATGGACTTTAATTGGATCCATTCGGAAAGCTGTGAGCCAAAATGGATGGTACCCAAGCATCACTGGATAAGGAGAAGATTCCTTGGGGTTTTTTCCTGTATTGCAGCCCAACGGTGCTGGACGCTACGTAGGTGGAACCCTGTGCAGTACATAGCTTTCCAGCAGAGTGCTATACAGGTCCGAGACAGTGGCCCCACATTATGGGGACGAGTCCTTGAAGGTCTGTATGACAATGCCCGCCATGAGGGAGGAAGGTTGGTGCCTGGCTGTAGTCAGGGACCTGCGACGGGACTAGTAAGCTACCTCATTTTTGCTCTCAGAAGAAAGGAGAAACAAAATGCAGGTTTTGGAGGGAAAAAGGGGAGTTTCTTGGTGCAATTGGCCAATGTGCCATCAGGGGCAGTGCTCACACACCACGTTCGGCCCAAAAAGAAAAAAATATTTTTTATTGTCTTCCTGTTGTTCTGGGTAGACCACTAGAATGAGCATTTTTTAAAAATAAGATTGCGGCTGTGGGCTCTGCACTATGGGTTGCACACGCATTCAGCGGGTATGCACGAGGATAGTGCACGCATGAATGGTAGCGGCTAGAAGTGGCCATGTTTATGCATCTAGGGTCCTGGACACACGTGGGCTGCTGCTTGTGGATTCCTGGGACTGGGACACAGAACAGGCTATTCGGTGGGGCATGTGAGTACTCCCTGAGGGGAAAGGGGCAATGACCAGTCAGGAGCTGCCTTTGATGGCCCATGATGTCAGCAATTGTTTGTTTGTTTTTTCAGCACACTACTTGCATATCTATATATTGTGGTCTGTGTTTACTATTGGTGGTGCACAGGTTTTTATGCTAACTGAAGTAATGCGGAGTGGGGAAGGTGTAGCAGGAAGGGGCACTAATGTACCGCCTCCAGGTCCTGCGGAACCTAGCCAAATGTCCACTCTAGTATCCGCTCCTTAGAGGCCAGAAGCGACTGGGCAGTCTGAGCCATTGCATTTTATCTGGCATTGTGGTTACTACTGGGGCATCTGCCTCGGTATATGTAACCAAGGATGATCTTGCTTCAGCCTTAGCGGGATTAGAGGAGAGGATCGCAGGGATGATTGCGTCAGTTTCTCAGGGGACTAAGAAGAGGGAGAGATCCCCGTCACTGGAACCACTAATCCTGGAGCAGGAATGGGTGGAACCTGAGGATGAAGAACTGGAGGTAGGTCAGGCAGTCTCTATCTGAAGGGTCACAGCCTGAAGAGAAACCTCCTAATCTCAGAGGTTATTAGACTAGGCCCTCACTGATATGGTACAATCTGGATTCAGGCTGCTTCCGATGGAAACCTCTGTGGTTACTTGTTCTTCTCTGGGCTCTTTGAAACCCCCACAGAGTATTCAGGCCTTTCCAGTACATCCTCTTCAGGAGCAAATTATGCATGCTTACTGGGATCACCCAGACAGGATTTTTGTTCCACCAAAGAGGTTTTCTTGTTTTGTACTCCACAGAAGAGAAGTTTGTTAAAAAATGGGGTACGCCGGTAGCGGATGCAGCTGTTTCATCCCTGAATAAGTCTTTAACATGTACTGTGGATAATTTCCAGGTCTCCAAGGATCCAGCAGATAAGAAACCTGGAGTCTCTCCTTTAAGGCCTCCTTCTCCATCGCAGGTTCTGCCACACAGCCAGCAGTTTCAGCTATTGGCATTTGCCTGATTCTCTCTGACCTTGTCAAACAACTGCTTGGAAGACCATCGGTGCAGGTGGAATACTCTGCCAAGGATTTGGAGGATGTTCCACATGCTTTATGTTTTGCATTTGATGCTCTTAAAGATTCAATGCAGCAAATTTCTCGCTTGGCCCTCTTATCAGTACACATGCACATGGCTTTGTGGCTAAGAGTTGGCATGTTTTCCCTTTTCATTGAGAGCGGCTGTTTGGGGATGATTTGGACAAGTATATCCAAAAGATTTCAGGGAAAGCGTTCTCTTCTACCCTTTAAAAGAAAACCCAAGGGCCCGTTTAGGGGCTTCGGTTGCTGGCCACTCATCTACCATGCAGTCATTTTGTCACACAAAGGGAACAGCAGGTGCATAATGTTGCAGTCCATGTAATGATGAATAAATGTATTAAGTTCCAGTTAAGGGAAAGGCAATCCAGTAAGCACCAGGGCAGGCTCCACCTATGCCTGATGAAAGAGCGCGCCAGCTCATACCGGTTCCCCCGCATGCTCAGAAACACGTCACATCCTAATGACGTCAGGTGCCTAACGCCACTAGCTGTGGACATATTTGGAGACCCAACCAGGCTTTACCATCCATGCCTTGCCTGTTGCAGTGCCTTCTGCTGACCGACCAGGATACCTTTTCTCCAGAGCAGTTCCTACATCTGGCGACAGACGTACTACACATATCCCTAAGAGCCTGTTTTACTGTTCGAAGATGTGAGTTGCTATACTTTTTTGGTAAAATTGTCTTACAGTTTACACTTAGAGGCTCTGTGTCCTTTGTTTAGTCATTTTGCCGCTCACAGGTCCCAGCCTCCAGGGGTAAAACTCACAATCAAAACCCGAGGAGGCCATGGGTGCAAAAGTCATCCAAGGCAGATCCTAAGTCCACCTCCTTATGAAGGAGCGCCCCCAATCGTTTTGGTGGCGGGGAAGGCTTTTGAATTTTGTCACTGCCTGGAGGGCTCTAATCCAAGACAAGTGGGTCATTTCCATGATTTCTCTGGAGTACAGACTAGAATTTGGGTCCCCCCTCCTCGGTTTCTAACATCAAATGTATCAATGAATCCAGAGACGAGAAGAGCTTTGTTACAGGCACTCAATCGCCTATTGTCTCAGGGGGTGATCACTGAGGTTCCAGACAAAATGTTTCAGGGTTTTATTCAAACCTGTTCACAGTGCCAAAGCCAAATGGGGATGTAAAGCCCATTTTGGACCTCAAGGGTCTGAATCAGTTTCTAAATGTCCGGTCTTTTCCTAAGTTCAGTCAGTAGTGGGCTCTTTACAGGAAGGAGATTTTTTTTTTTTTTTAGTGTCTACAGACACAGGGATGTTGAATTCCTATTGCCCGACGCCCGGGATATGTAGTTCTGGGCACTGAGCAGGTAGTTTTTTGTTTTTTTTTTTGTTTTTCTACCTTAAGCCCTGCTGCAGGCAAGCAGCATGCTTATCTGTCAGGTGGAAGCAATCGGTGGCAGCACTTACGCCAATGGCTTCCACACAGTGCCAGCCTCTCCGCCCCCTCGTGTGAACCTCCCCTCGCCCACTATCTCCCAGGCTCCGCTTGCCCATCTGCAGGCCCAGCTCACCGCCATCAGCTAGAGTGGAGGGAGGAGAGCGGACACGTCTACTTCCCTCCCCTTCTTGTCCTGACCCGGAAGTAACGTTATGATGCCACTTCCGGGTCCCCGTTGAGATTTTCACTAAATGTAATGTGGTGCGATGTGCACCACTTTACATTCAGTGTAGTACAGGGGAGACATGCAGGGTCTTTTAGACCTTGGATGTCTCAATAAAGAGAAACTGTCACCTAATATCACATTTTTTTTTTTTTTTTCAATTGTAAAAAATGAAAATTACACCTAAGCACATAACATTCCCCCCCCCCCCCCCACGTATACGCACATACAAACATAAAAGCACACGCTGGGGCGCCTACGCATGTAAACATCGATTGCGATACACATGTTGCATTTCGCCACCCACGCAAGGATGAGAGCAATAGTTCTAGCACCAGAACTCCTCCATAACACCAAACTGATGACCTATAAGCATCATCTATAGAAAATTTAGGGTACTGAAATTTCTCGCCATTTCACAAGCGCAGGCAAATTTAAAGTTTGACATGTTGGATATCAATTTACTCGATGCAACCTCATCTTTTATTTATATATATATATATATATATATATATATATATATATATATATATATAAAATTAAAAGATTTCAGAAAATATATATAATGTTAGGGGGTTTTATGTAATGTAATGTTCAGGCCTAAGATTATTTTTTTTAATCTTCTGCAAAAACGGCTCTGGCAGCTAAAGGATAAGCCCGACACTCCCCTTTCCTGAGGAGCAGCCAATCGGTGCCATTACACTGCAAGGTCTGTCTCCTCCCTGCTAGTCCCTGGATGTGGTGCTGGAGACAAGCAAGGCAGGGGAGGAAAATATAAACAGCGCAATGTTAAAAATTTTACACATTTAAGGTGCCATAAAACCCCTTTTGTTTGTAAAACTGTCCTAAAATCACCTCTGATTTAAATTTTTTTTTTTTTTTTTTCTCATCTGGACAAGTAGATTGTCACGAGGGACAAGTAGATTGGCGCACCAATTTAGTCCCTGGACGAGTAGTTTTCTTAAAAATGTCCACAGCGCTGCAGACATAAGGGACGCATACCTACATGTGCCGTTATTCATTCCTCACCAAAAATGTCTGCAGTGTGCAGTAGGGGCTCAGCATTTCCAGTTCATAGCACCGTTTGCGCTGGCCATGGCTCCCAGAGTTTTCACATAAATTCTTGCTCTGGTGTTGAGGCTGCTCAGAACTCAGGAGGTATCAGTCATAGGTTATTTAGATGATCTGTTGCTCAGAGGTCGGTTGGTCGGTGCCAGGTCTGGAGCAGGATGTGGTTCTTATGATGCAACCCCTGGAACAGCTTCGAGAAGTCAGCTCTGGAGCCAGTACAGAGCCTGGAGTATTTGGGGATGGTCCCAGACACGGTTCAGGCAAAGGTATTTCTGCCTCCAGGGAAACGGTGCACCCTGAGGAACGAGGTTTGCAGTTTAAAAGCTAAGGGGTATCCTTCAATTCTCCTCTGTATGAGGTTGCTGGGGAAGATGATGTCTTCGTTCGAGGCTATTTCCTATGCCCAATTCCACTCCAGATCACTGCAAAGGAACATTCTGACAGTTTGGAACAATAAGGTTCTGGCCCTGGATTACTGTATGTCTCTGTCTCCAGAGGTACTGCGAAACCTAAATTGGTGGTTGACGACTCACAATTTGGAGAGAGGGAGATCCTTTTGGCCAGTGGTGTGGAAATTGGTAACCACCGATGCCAGCCTCAGGTTGGGGGATTGTCCTGGACTGCAGGAAGCCACAGTTCAGGGAATGTGGCTTCCATGGGTAAGGGTTCTACCCATAAATGTCCTGGAACTTTGGGCAGTGAGGTTGGCTCTGAGTTATTGGACATCCAGGCTGAAGGGTTGGCCTGTAAAGGTTCAGTCTGACAATGCCACGGAAGTGGCATATATCAACCACCAGGTGGGTACCAGTAGTCGAGGGGCTCAGGAGGAGGTGAATTACATTCTGACCTGGGCAGAAAAATATGTTCAAAGTGTTCATTTGGAGGGTGGAAAATTGGCAGGCAGATTATCTCGCCAGTGGTTCACTCCAGGGGAATGGGCTCTGCATCCCGAGGTTTTCAAGGGAATCTGCTAGTGATGCGGTTGCCCTGACGTAGATCTATTTGCACCCAGTTTCAACAACGCTGGTCGGTCTTTTTGTGTCCAGGGTAAAGGACCCTCACGCGGTAGAAGTAGATGACTTGGTGATTCCTTGGAATCAGTTTTCACTCATTTTATAGTTTTCCTGTGATTCAGCTGCTGCCACGTCTCTTAAACCGGATTCGAGAGGAGTCTATTCCAGTGATACTAATTGCCCCGACCTGGCCCAGGGGAGCTTGGTACGCGGCTTTACGGTCGTTAAATTTAACGGCATGGCTATTGAAACCCAGATCATAAAGGATAGGGGAGTATCAAATTCTGTCATCCCCATCATGTTGCGTGCTAGAAAGGTAGTCTCTAGGAATATTTATTACAGAACTTGGAAGGCTTAGATTTCCTGGTGTGAAGTCCGGAAATGGCATCCATGAAAATATGTGATTGGTAGGATTCTGTCGTTTCTTCAAACAGGGTTGGAGAAGAAATTTGCTGTTGACACCAATTTAGGACCAGGTTTCAGCATTAGCTGTTTTTTTTCCAGAGGCCCATTGCGTCTCACTTTGTTTAGCACTTTTTTACAAGGAGTGATTCATATTGCTTGTCAGGTTACCTTTGTGCCCTTGCGACATGAACTTGGTTTTGGAGGTTTTGAAAAAAAACACCTTTTGAACTTATTTGGGAGTTTCCATTGGTCCTGTTGACTCATAAGGTTTTGTTTCTAATGGCAATCACTTCTGCGAGAAGGGTGTTGGAGCTGGCAGCTCTTTCTTGCAGAGAACCATTTCTGGTTTCGCATCAAGATAAGGTGATTTTGTGACCTCAACCAACTTTTTTTATTTTTTTATTTTTTTTACCAAAGGTGGTTTCTAGTTTTCACCTCATACAAGACATTATTCTGCCTTCATTCTTTGCTAGGCCTCAGTCAGCAAGAGAGAGATCTCTTCATACCTTGGATGTGGTATGTCCTGTAAGGGTCTTCTTGAAGGTGACGGCACAGGTCAGGAGGTCAGATACTCTGCTTGTGCTGCCAGAGCAGCCTAGGAAGGGACAGGCGGCATCCAAGGGACTATTTCACATTGGATCCTCCAATTGATCATTCAAACCTATGGTTTGAAAGGTAAGGTCCCACCTTTTCAGGTGAGAGCACACTCTACCAGGAGTGTAGGGGCATCTTGGGCAATCCGCCATCAGGCGCCAGTGGCTCAGGCCACTACATGGTCTTTGGTTCACACATTTACAAGGTTCTACCAGGTGGATGTCAGAGCTGTGGAAGATTCTGCCTTTGGCCACAGTGTTTTACGGACAGCTAAGTAGGTCCTGAGGGATTATTGACAGTGGCTATCATGGTGTCACTCTCCCCTCAAATTTCTTTATTGCCTTAGGACATTTCACATAGTCATGAATAACCTGCTCTGTGTCCCATGATGTACGATAATGAAAACCAGATTTTTTTTTTCTACATACTTACCTGTGAAATCCATTCTTGGAGTACATCACGGGACACAGAGGTCCCACCCCTCTTTCTGGAGTTTCATTGCTTGCTACAAAAACTGAGGTACTTCCTGTGTAGGAGGGTTTATATAGGGGAGGACCTCCTCTCTGATTGGTCGGCCAGTGTCAATTCACCTATAGGTGGCATATAACCCACATAGTCATGAATAGCCTGCTCTGTGTCTCGTGATGTACTCCAAGAAATGGATTTTACTGTAGGTAAGTATGTAGAAATAAATTCATTTCTTCTTTATTTTGCCTTGTTCCCTTTGGCACCAATCATTCAATATAATAGTAATTGCTCAAGCATTTGTTATATGAATGTGTAGATGTATGAGAGATGTCATGCAGTCAGTGCTGGAGTGCATGTAAATTAGAAGTTGCTGCAAACAAGCTGCAGAGGATTAGTTGCAACTAACACTGTAAAAAATGCAATTGGTTATGATACACAGTGCTTTAGCAAACTAATGGTAATTCAGTTGGGGTTTACAGCTACTTGAAATTACTTGACTTTCCTGAAGAAGTTGCAGTTCATGATTCTATCTGGTAAAAGTCGCATTATAAAATGCCAAGGATCAGGTGATCACAGTCAAAAGGGGTTTAGGGCGTAACAACATCCAATGCCTGAACTCTGGTTTTAAATATACAGAGTAAGCGCACAGCAGACAAGAATACGTTTGCAATAAAGCTGTATCCAGCATACAGTGTAATCACAATTATACAATGGGTACAAATATCCAAGTATGTTATAACAGCACAGGCAGTTGCCCCACTGTTGAAAGTAGAATTGTAGGCAAGACTTTTTTCCCATTTTGGATAGAGTAAGAAAGGGTTAGATCTTCTGATTTTAATGTGGGGTTCTTTTTTGCCATCTGTTCCCCATTAGACCATTAGAGAAACTTATCTTCACTTCCAAACCATGACGTGAGGAAAAGCCCATGAAAATTAAGGGAATACTTTGGACCCCCCCCCCCCCCGAAGCTGCGTCCCCATTGGAAGGTTCCCCTTCTATTACTTTTCTGGGGACAACCAAAAATTTGGGTTTTTAATTTATTTTCAGTTTCAATGATAATGGTAAACAGGACAAAGAGAGAGGGTGAATCTCCCTAATGGGGATACAAGCAAAAATAAAAACTTGATCAGTGTTCTAATCCATCTCCACTCTATCCAAAACTAAGAAGTTTTTTTGCCTTTTTAGTTATAATTTAATTCCAATTTTATAGCCAAAAAGAATGTATGTACATAAGTAAAGGACCACTTGGTCATAAAGCAACTGATGTTCAGATGCACATACAGGAATTCAATACCCAGAGTAGAATAATGGGAAGAAAAGCAGAACCAGACTCTGGTGAAATGAGGCAGAAGAACATAACATGTCAGGGTGTAGAAACCTCCTTTCTCAAGAACTTCCTGCCATGACTCTGGAGCCGAAGTATGGGCCAATGTGAACAGTACACCACAGATTAGAATGCATACTGGGTGCACTAAAGACTTAAGAATCTGAGAAATATTTGGGGACGCTTACACTTTCTAGCTCTACAATACATTGAGAGTTTGTGCAGGTAACTGTTGTGCCCAGTTCGCTTTAAGCTCACATTTCACCGTCTGTTATTATGTTGGATCACAACAGGAGATATTACAGTACAGCAATGTGAGGTTTGAGAATTTGTTTTCCCTGCCTTTATCATAATGTATTCCTGTTTCAGTGATATTGGCTTTTCTAAATCCACATGCTTTAAATTTTATCTTAAATCTTCATGAAAATCTATTTAACCTTTTGCTTTCTCCTATTGAATAGGTTATCTGCTGTGAAGGAAATGCTGGCTTCTATGAGGTTGGCTGTGTCTCTACTCCGCTGGAAGGTCAGAAAGCTCTTTATATCAATCATTCCCTTTGTTGTGTTATGGTTTTTTTTTAAATTCAGATACTTTTTATTTAGTTTGAAAACATAAAAAGCACAACAGACAAGCCCAAACAGTAGGCGTATATAAAATAAAACTCTCATAATATACAAAAAGAACAGGAGTTCCAAATACAATCATATTACGCATAAAGTGTTACAATCGTAAGGGAGTGCCCCAGGAAGGAAAAGCCCCATATGATGCATACAGTAAGACTTGATGATAGAGGATGTGGCAATTCCATGACATATCTATCAAGTTCTCCATCAAACACATCAACCATCATCATAGGTGTTACAAGTGATTATAATAAAGGTCTTGGAAAAACTACTTATAAATTGTTACAGCAGTCCAAGAATCAGTGCTCTCAAGTAAAATAGAACAGGGCCAGTATTATTACGGTTAGAGTGAATTGCCTCCATCTGTAAGGAGATAAAAATCAACTCCGTAACCTATCCAATATCAGTTGCATAGAGTCTGCAAGAACTGCAAGCCAGGCATCCTAGATTTTGAAGAATTTAGTAGGGCAACCCACGTTTTGATACACTAACGTGTTCCTTTAGAGGGATGCATTCACGAGCTGTTGTCACGCCTCATAGATTGGGGGAGAGGAGAAATCAATTTTTGGGCCAAAGTTTACACGCTATAAATAGCAAGCAGTATAACTTAGGATCAGGTTGTAGATTAACAGAAAAATGAGCGTTGATAGTAAGTTTAATGTCCAGTATTGGGCATTTCCATAGCATGTGGATCATCGTACCCATGTCTAGTGCGCTTTGTTCACACAAGGCAGAGTCTCTTTTATGCCATCTAATTAGTTTTTTGGAGTGTGATAGGTTTTATGGATGATAAACAGTTGCGTCAGTTTCTGTTTAGTAGATACTGATACCTGTAGCATGTTTAGGATGTCTGACCATTCATCATCCGAGATAGACCCCATATCGAGTTGCCAATGTTCCCTATGTGTTATGTTCAAAGGATAGTTTCACCTTTACCAACATGTTACACCTGTATTTAGGGTATAACATGCTTGTAATTGCCAGTTGACACCTACCCCACCACCACAGCCCCTTCCTCTGTGCTTCACCCGCACAGCTGTGTCATTCATTCACAGAGATCTGTGAATAAACTATAAGTCCTGTCTGTCACCGTGTCAAATGGACCTAGTGCCCTCATATCCATTGACACTTCCTGCAGCTCAGTAACTGGCTGCCTATACAGAAGTACAGGCAGTGATTAGATATAGATATAGAGAGAGAGAGAATATATAGAGCTACCCTCATAAGGGCCGCCGTGCTGTGGGTAGCCCTAGGCTTCCCTCTTTACAGCCAGGCACAACAGTTATTTCTCACACAGACTTGCATCCAAAGACAGTGATCAGTCCATGGGCTTGGTTTTGTTGTCTTATTTGTGAAATTCAACCTGGATAGGGATTATGGGATGCCCAGTTTGGCTTGAATCAATGGAAGGGGGGACACTTCCTTCCTATGTAAAAAAGCAGATCCTGGACTGTTCTTTTCCTGAAACCTGTAAGTCATTGCGGATCAGTAGCAGCTGCCCTTTATGGGTCAGGAACTAGCAGCCCCCCAAAAAAAAATCACTTTACTTCTTGTAGCTACATGCAGAGACGTCCTCTCTCCTTTATAGAGCTGCTCCACAGCCTGCAAGCAATACCAGCCCTCCTGGCTTCTCGGAAGATCTCCGGGGGAGAGGGATAAAGGGTTGAGCTTAATGCTGTCCTTAGAAAGCTTGCTACGTGTGGCAGTCTTTCCCCTTGTTGATCCCAAAGTGTGCTGCTGTACTCACACTGTCCTCTTTGCTCCCTACTGTTCCAAGCTTGATCCTGTCTGTGCCTTTCCGCAGCATGTATCCTTCTGAGCCAGCCTAGAGAATGACCCCCGGACCTAGGGGACATCTCCTAGGCATCGACTGTCTCCTCAGCACTCCATCTTACACCTGATTACCCTGTCAGCCTGTCAATCCCATATTTATAGGCCAGTCCATCACTATCAGGGCCTCCAAACCTGGGATTGGCCGGACTCCCCATGAATATACAGATTTGGTCTCCACCCTCTCCTTACTGACTTCCGAAGGGTCTATAGTCCTCCAGAGTCAGGAGGAGGCAATATAACCACAACCTGTTGAGTCATCCAGCTGACCTGCAATAACCTGACCTAAATCACATGACTACACTATCCTAGTAGCGCACTAGAGAGTGCTATATATATATAAATAGATATAGATGTGTAGACAGAATGAGCTGGTGAATTCTTATTGGTCAGATTGCTACCTCTTGAAGCCTTATTATAAGCCAGCTGACCCTCCCATCAACTGTTCTCTGCAGTATTCTCCTGTGAGCTCAGAGTGGCTTGATGATGCACCCCAAAGGTCCTTGACACCCTGGACTCATAGTAAAAGCAATGTCAGAGGAGAAAAGGTGCTGGATCACATACCAGTGACAAGCTAAGTACTGAAGGGATAGCTAGTTGTTCATCTAACTGGTACAAAGGAATTCATGTTAATTTTTTTCATAAGCTGGAATTGGGCTGTTAAGTAGATGTTTTTGGAGGCTGAAGGTTTTTTTTTTTTTTTTTTTTTTTTTCTCCTATTAACCTTCATGCATCCTATGCATGAAGGTAAAAAACCTTCTGTGTTCCGCTTTCCCCTCAGCTCTTCCCTTAAACTCACCCAAGCCCCCTTTCGATTCAGCAATGTGCAAGGAAGCCTCGGCTGTCCTGGGTCTCTCTCTCCTCATTGATGTGACTGGAATGGGAGCCATTGGCTCCCACTGCTGTCAATCACAGCCAGTGAACCAATGAGAAAAGAGCAGGGGGTGGGGCTGAGTTGTGGCTCTTTGTTTTATGGATGCAAAGAATGGGGCTCAGGAGCAAGCATGCATCATTCCCCCATGGCAAGCGTCTTGCTATAGGGGGCACTGGTCAAGGGGGAGGATTCAGGAGCGCTGCCAGGGGACCTAAGAAGAAGAGGATTGGGGCTGCTCTGTACAAAACCATTGCACAGAGCAGTAAAGTGTAACATGTTTGTTTTAAAAAAAAAAAAAATCACTTTGATATATAAGGACTTCATGGTGGGGAGTGTTAATACAGATTGTGGACTGGAAAGAGTTATTGACTGAAAATATATGCTATTAAATTGTGCTATTATTTCCCTTTTAAGTAGAAAAAGATCTGCTTGAATGTAATGCTTAGGATTGGGTTCTTATGGAAGTTGTTTTTTTTTTTTTTTTTTTTTTTGTTGTTTTTTCTTTCAGCTGGTTATTCTGTCCTCGGTTGGAATCATCCTGGATTTGCAGGCAGTACAGTAAGTTGTAATCTAGGCCAAGGGAACTTGTCTGTATTTCTGACCCGCACGTTAGTTCATGCTCCATAGATATTTCCATCATAACAGCATGTTAGCCGGTTGGAGAGCTTGTTGTCAGAACAATCCAGAACTCCCATTTTAAAGCGAATCTTCAACCTAGTGCATAAGGCGGGCGCGGGGGAGCAGCTGAAAACTTTTTTTTTTTTTTTTTTTTTTTCTTCTAAAAGGTAAAAATAAAACTTGCTATTTTAAGGAGTGGTGGGTTGGAGAGGAGGGAAGATTGCCCAGAGGGTGAATATCTGCTTTAACCGCTTTCCCACCACCCTATAGCAGAAATACTGCTACAGGGCGGCAGGGGTGTGCAAAAATCACGTGTGTGTGTATATATTTCCGGGTAGGAGCGCGCCACCAATGGCGGCTTCACCTGTCGATCACCTGGTCCTGTCCGGGGATTCCCCGTCGGCACCCAGCGATCGCCTTTTATCACCGACAGGGGAGAGACTTGTATGTAAACAATACTAATCTCTCCCCTGTCAGCTCCTGCACACTGCTTACAGTGTAAAGTGCGCACACACAGTAAAACGGCACACAGTTAACCCTTTGATCGCCCCAGATGTTATCCTCCTTCCTGTCCAATGCCATTAGTATAGTGTCAATGCTTTTTATTAGCACTGATCACTGTATTGGTGTCACTGGTGATTTCAGTGACAGTCAATTCCCACACCAGTGTCAGAATGCCTGCCGCAGTCCCGCTATAAGTCGCTGATAGCCAGCATTACTAGTATTAAAAAGAAAAAAAAAAAATCCCAGCATATATACCGCCATTTGTAGACACTAACTTTCATGTAAACCAATTAATTTACATGTATTGGGATTTTTTTCTAGCAAAGACATGTAGCAGAATACATTTTGGCCTAAATTTATAACAAATTTATTTTTAAATTTTTTTTTACTGGACATGTTTAATAGTAAAAAGTCACAAATATTTTTTTGTGTTTTTTTGTTTTTTTTTCTTTCTCTTAATTGGCGGTCTAGCGCAAAAAAAAAAAAACACAGAGGCAATCAAATGCCATCAAAAGAAAGGTCTATTTGTGGGCAAAAAAAGGACATCAATTTAATTTAGGTGCAGCATTGCATGACCGCGCAATTGTCAGTTAAAGTAACGCAGTGCCGTATCGCAAAAATGGTCTGGTCAGGAAGAGGGGTAAATCCACTGGAGGGCAAGTGGTTAAAGTGTGGTTTGCCAGTTACATCCTCTGAACTAACTGGCAGCTGCAGGAGGTTATGGGCTCTTTCTTTAATCAGTACAAAGGGAACAAGCAGGGGAGGCAAAGGTTGCATGGCAAGGAGGCTGCAGATGTTCAGTGTGGCATTGTTCAGAGGAGGTTGGGGCTGTATGGGCTCCATGTGCTCAGTGTCTGTAACGCCCTCTCCTCTGTGCACTGTTGGTCAGAACGTTTGTCTCCTTGCTCATGTGTAGTCAAATAGCGGGCAAGCTATCCAAATGCACAGTTTAGAAACCACAGCACAGATCTTAACAGGAACAAGTGCTCTTTGCACTGGGTCCCCTGGAGTTTTTAACAGGCCTTTTTAACTTGTGTTCTTTAAACTGCACAGAACATTTTTAATAAAAGAGCAATGTGGGGGTGTTGGCAACCTCCTTTGCCATCCGCTAATTTCACTTTGCTACAAATGACTCATTTGAAAATATTGTTTAGAGTATTAAAAAGATCTTTTTGTTTGGTATTATGGTTTTTGTGTAACCTGACTTTTCCTGTTTTAGAATACACCACTTTTGCAAAAACAAATTAAATGTCTAATTGCTACAAAAGCCATTTTGTATTTTGTTATTCTTCATTTTCTGATCTTCAGCAGCTGTGATTTTCTGTAGCTGCCAAAAATTCAAATGTTGCTTCCTTTCAATATGGAGCACTCAGGGTGTTCTGGACATGGTTTTTCTGTGCTTAAAGCTGAACACCAGGCAAACTGCTAAATACACAGATGAAATGCATATAAGGGAGCTGATTTTCCTTTCAAAGGATTTGAATTTGTCCATTTAGTCCTGAGATTTACACTGCTCTGCCACACAGCACAGCCCACTCTGGAAGGGCAGGAAATCTGATTCTTCTCTGCTGCAGTTAAGTTACATTTTACAGGTCATGTACCTCTCCCAGCCTGTGACTGGACAGTGAAAGGAGAAGCAGCAGACTTATGAGCTCTTCTCTGTGTCACTCTGCTCTCTTCTGTCACCATGTTCCTTGTTGACACATAAACACTGCAGCAGAACTGATTATCACCTTGTCATTGTGCTGTCCACCCTCTTCAGTCAGAGAGCTCCTTTGCAGGAGATTGCAAGGAGCTGATACCAATTCAAATTCAGGTACTTAAAAATAAAATACATTTAATGATGAATAAATGAATGCAGAGTTGCATTAGGTTGTGTCTTTTAAGTCTGCCTAAAGTTCAGCTTGAACCCCCTCAGAAATATAATTTCCTGCTAGTTCTAGTCTCACTACTTTTTCTAGAAAGTAAGACAGAGCTGTAAGTCCAATAATGACCTCATCTTTGGGCAGAAATATATTCTACAATTCATAGGTACAAGATGCAGCCGGTACTCCTGTGCATATTACAAACCTGAGATTGCTCAGGTGGTGATAATAAGGGCAGTCCCTCCCATGTAGCAGTCACTCTTACATGGTAAAGAAAATCAAAACTTTGGTTTATTCAGGACAGAATACTTTAACCAGAGGTCGTCTTTCTTCTGCAGGGTGTCCCTTTCCCTCAAAACGAAGCAAATGCAATGGACGTTGTTATCCAGTATGCCTTGTATCGGCTCGGCTTCAAAATGCAAGACATCATTGTTTATGCCTGGTCTATCGGCGGCTTCACAGGTGTGTCAAACTGGGACCACTAAACTTGGCAGAAAAGTAACAATGGGAATTTAAAGGGGGGTGGGGGGCATTGGTACAGAGGCGAAGGCTGGTCTGAAGGTGGCAGGTCTCATGGAAATGTGATTTTGTTACTCTCAGGAACCAGTCATTTCATTTTTTTTATTTTTTATAACAAGAAAGCAAACCTCTAAATACATGTTTTGGGCAACAACACTTAAAATCTTTTTGTCACATTGCTTTAGAAAGCATTGGCATGTAAATCTAAGGGAATGTACTGCATTTTCAATATCATTTAAAGAAAAATATGTAAAAGATCATTTTGATGTAAATAATGTCCGTTTTGTATTAATGTTTTAAAAAGCCTGTCACTTTTTATAGTTGTGATGATTAAATGCACGGGGGGTGGCCACATTTACTTCTTTACAAACACAGGCCCTGTTTCTTGGTTTGTAGTGCTACATAATGGCTTTATGGCTGCTTTGCAAATGCCGACTCAGATGACTCATTGAAAGATATGGACTTGCTTGTGTAATTGCACTATGCTAACAAAGGCTCCCCCAAAATAAAATCTATATAATGTATACATCCAGCCAAACCCTTTTTTTTTTTTTTTCTATCTTTGATAAATTGGTGAAGCGTTAGAACCCCTTCCAGGTTTGTATTGCTGTGCTGGGCTACAAGAGATTTCAACTAACTGCTAGACCTGATGACAGCAATTTACCAGGTGGCAAATGAGAATAAATCTCCAACAGCAAAAGAAACAGAATTAAAAACCTATTTCTTAATTGTACATCACAGGACACAGGGCATCTTCTTGACCATTGGGTTATGCTGCCTCCTTCAAGTGAATGAACATGAGCCAAAAAAAAGGCCAGTTTTTTTCCCACCATGACATAACCATTCCCAGCACGGCTTACCCTCAGGTGTGTGCTAGTGTGATGGATGTGTTTGTGAGGAATCAGTGTAAAGGTTTTCCTGTTTACTGTATCCTATGGATATTCAGTGGCTATCCTGCACTCCTCTGCTGAGGTAAGGAAAGACTTCATCTGGAGGCTTGAGGGACAGTACCCAAACTCTGCTGTAGAAGAACAAGGATGCCTGTAAGGTGCTGATCAATGCTGATTCTACAGGCAATGCTCACTGGACTACCTGGTATGTAGTGAGTCACGGGCAGGGTGCTTTACAGGTTCAGATTGGTGACTCCTGAAAGGGGAAGGGGGGGTAGTCATATCCCTGAAGGCCCTTTGGGTGTGCCTGAGGTGATGAATGAAGATTGGACATGGCCTTTCAGCCTGGAATGGTAAGTGCCCCTGTTGTGTGGACGTACCACTATTTTGGAAGTGTGGGGTAGTTTACTGCTGTGGGTGGTGGTAGCAGTGCAGGGCTTCCTGTGAAGTGCATGGGTGCTGGTTCAGTGCTACACCACTGTGGAAGTGTTCAAAAGGGACAGGACTTTGCCTCACTGCATGTACATGGCCTAATTGAGTCCTCATTGAAAAAATCCTCTCAGAAAGAGGATTGTGGTCCTGTACTGTCACAAGCTCAGTTACCATAGTTAGTTTTTTGACGGATGCAATCAGAACAAATTAGAAACTACCACTTTCGGAATACACTACTCCTAAAGTCTCTGGATTTGGGTTCTGGCGGCTACATAAAGCACGCTAAATCTTTTCCTGTTCACCCTCATTTACAGGAGGTGATGTATGCCAGTCAGGCTCATCTGAAGAAGGGGTTTTTGTCACCAAAGCAGTTTACCGAGCAGTACCTCATGGAGGAGGAGTTCCTGAAGAAGTGGGGTTCTCTGGTGATGGATCCGTCAATTTCCTAGTGAAGCCTAGTACACACAATGAGAAAATTGGATGAAAAATACAGCTTTCAGAGCGATCGTCTGACAATCTGATCATTGGTACACAGCTTTCGAGAGCTGATCACGACAATTCATGCAAGTTTATCCAAAGGGACAAGCAAGAATTTTTTTTTTTTTTTTGTATGGTAACAGAACAAACGATTTTCGTTTAATCAGTACAGTATTCACCCGTAAAAAATCAAGTGACCAAGACCGCGAATGCTTGGAAACAAAAGAATACATTACAATACAATACATTACTTCACTCCTGAAGTTTTATTCTGTCTTACAAGAATTTTCGTACCTTTTAGTAACCTATTCATTTTCGATATAGAACTAGCATGCAAAAATAACCAGACTATCATTCATCCGATATTAAGACTCTGAAGACCAGGGCCTCATCCACTGAGATTGTCAGGCGCTGTATATATAGGTTTAAGGCCCTTTTGAAGGTATTTTGAAGATAATCTGATCCTGAGGTTCTTGCCATTGGTCAATGCCTGGAGGATTTTCCATTCCATAACTTGCAAGGCTGTGTGTTATGTATGTTCACATGAGAGAGGGGTGCTGTGGCTCAATTGCTGGTCAGCTGAAGAACAAACACACACAGAAAGAAGGGGAGGATCCTTGTGTCCTGTGATGTACTTCAGAAAAGCATTTTACAGAGAAGCCAAAAATCCTACTTTTAGCGTTTTCAGCCCTTTCTTTTCTTGGTACGTTAGGGGAAGGCTAGAACCACTGTCACCTTTTTTTTTTTTTTTTTCTTGCTGTTTGTGTTTGGTGGTTATCACAGTTGACAAAATGAGGGTAAAATCTCTATAACATAGTCCTGGATAACAAATAAAACCTGACATGGGGTTCCAATTTTTCTCTATTCAAAATTAAATTGCTGGTAGACATACAATTTACCAATATTTAATAAAGTTCTGTAATTAATCATTTTTAACAAAAATATGATATAGTGTGTGCGCATGCACACAATATGCATTTACTAAAAATACACTATATGCTTCCTAAGTCTTGTGTTTTTTAAGCCCCCCATCCCAAAAAAAACAAACAAAATACCAGAGTCTTCTGGCAGGTCCAATGAATATCAGTGGTCCACTTCCGGCACCACTGAACTATGATCTCTAATAACCTCGTACTAAGCAGTAATATTGTAAGCCCAAGCTGTGTGAGGACACTGCCCTAGGAAGCAGGTCTGTGACATCCTGAGTTCAGAGGATGTGGGTGGAATGATATTGTCCACTCTTTAACCCAGAAGATTGAGGACATCCAGCCCCAAAATGAAGTACTTCAGTGGACAGCTCTGAATTGAAAGTAAATATTGTAACAAGTGCCACTTTTTCTTAAGTTTCTTTTAATGGGCTGCGCTGTGTTTGTGTGTGTGTTTTTTTTTTTTTTTTTTCAACATTAAAGAAAAACTAAACACAGATACATGCCCCCCCAACCTTCCAGTGATGCAATCATTGAATCCCTTGTTGGTCGCTGACATATTCTCCCCAGGCTCCTTCCAGATGTCTGGTCTTGGCCTTTTAATTGGTTGGTCAGGGGTGATGTGACTCCCGTGCATATGCATGGCAGTCTTTCATTCCAAGACCACCACAGTATGCAAGGAATGCCTGCTAAGATGTTCATGTGCAGCATAGTGTACACGTATTAGAAGATTGTGAACAGGCACATCAGTTTGTCCTACTGCAGCCGTGCATTCCATGTCACTTTCTGCAATAAAGAGCTGCCTGATTTTATTTTTCTTTATTAAAGGTTTAAAGTAGATACCTGAGAGTAGACCTGTCTTCTTTGTTCTCTACAGCCACATGGGCCTGTATGTCCTATCCAGACATCAGTGCTCTTGTCCTTGACGCCTCCTTTGATGACTTGGTTCCTCTGGCCCTGAAGGTGATGCCAGAAAGCTGGCGTAAGTCATGTCTCAGATTCTCCTATTTCCATCTCTTTTATCTCTCTAGCTCTATGATTGGAGAAAAAAACGTATTCACTTTCTCAGTCTAGTATTAATATCTGGCTTTCTTTCATACAGGAGGTCTGGTAACCAGAACAGTCCGGAAGTATCTAAATCTAAACAATGCAGAGCAGCTCTGCAGGTACTGAATATGTTCATTAAACGTTGATGATTGAAAAGTCATTGCATCAGCTGCTGCATCATATCCTTTATAGGTTCTCCAATATGTAAGAACACATGACACTGTTTGTTTTAAAGTTAAAGTGGTTATAAACTCTTACATATACCCAGTGAAATGACTGGCCTCAGGTGATACACAGAGATGAAACCATTTTTCCTACATAAGTTGTACCTGTTTATCTACAGACACCTCTTCTCTACATGCATTCAAAGTGCAGAATATACACATGATCCCTGGGCTCTAAAAATCAGGGGGCGGGGAGCTGAAGTTACATCGGCGAGGAGAGCTCTGAGAACTAATTGGCGGGAAGGGACACAGACCCTTTCGCACAGCTCACACGAACAGAGCTGAAGCTGTTGATCACAGGCTGTGTCCTCCCCTGTCACCATTTTTCTCTTGGTGTTAGGAAAATTCAACTGAAGTGACTCATGCTTATAGCAGAGAAACGTGGCAGCAGACAGAAATGACACCTAGTGCTCTCAATTGAGACAAGCATATACTATCGAGAAATTTGTTCTATTTTATGTCTGTGGTTCACAACCACTTTAATTACAATATTCATAATTAACCAGCACCTGAAAATTCCCTACTCCATGTAATGCAAGAATGCATATTTGTAGAACAGCCAGATCATGCACTAGGCTGGCTGCTGTCTGAGGCCTGAAGACTCCATATAGTCAACCTTCGCTTTGCCCACGTGTATTTATGTTAGTGTGCCGCCCCCTTCTTTCCTTTCTTTTACTTTCCCGTTCAGAGCTGGAATTGAGGAGAACCCATCCTCCTAAGCTGAGTCACTTCATTTGAAGGGTACACAAAGCTGAGAACACCTTCCCTTTTTATTGTGACAGTGCTGGACCAATCATCAACCACCAGTGCTGATACATTCACCTTTATATCCAGAAATGTTGGTGATTTGACCACTGCTGTCATGACAAGTGAAAAAAATTGCCCTTGTGTAAACTCCAGTCATATTTCCAGTTGGAGCTTACACAGGGCTTACTTCCTCCCCACCTTCATGTGACAGCTCTGGGCCACATTTAAGGGGTATGTCAAATGCTATGCCAATACTCAGAAGTACCAGATGTTTTCTTAGCTTCTGGCAGCTGAATAGAGTAGTGTGGGAGCAAAGAGAAGAGCTGTGAACAAGTGAGCCCGCCACTTTGCCCTTCATTATTCTGCTTGATAAAGGTTCTTGCCTTGATCTTTGTTACTAATGGCTTTGCGTCATTTTCCTGCAAGGTTTCAGGGTCCCGTTCTGCTGATCAGGAGAACAAATGATGAAATTATCACAACCACGTAAGTATATGACAGTTGTCAGCATAAGAGTGTTTTCTGCATAGGACTGCCTAATTTGTTTACTGTCCTTCACAGAACCCCAGAAGATGTTGCATCGAATCGGGGAAATGACCTCCTGCTCAGTCTGCTGCAGTGCCGGTAAGGAAAAAACTAGCCAGGTATATGTACAGGGATACAGCAGAAAACAGCTGTGCTCTGCATCTATACCTTGAGACATTAAGAACCTGTTGAATCAGTAACTTGGGAGTGACTTGTTTCTTTGAAGAGGCAGCCTCCAGGACTGCTTATTGTGTTAATGCCCAGTAAAGGTTGTGACAACCTTCCATAAAGGTCCCTGTACATTGTGATGGCAGTAAACTCTGGGAAGTCTTTTGTTTTTGGATAAATTCCCATCTCATCTTTTGTGTTTTTATAATTTTGTCTTTACATTCTCAGTTTTCCAAATGTGATGACAGAAGAGGGACGGAGGGCAGTGAAGATGTGGCTTGGAGCCGCCACGCCAGAACAAGAAGGTGAGTATCCATCTTTTATGTTCTTATTTTAAATATAGCTGGTTCTGGATAGATTAGTAAATAGCTACCACTCTGTAAGGGATTTATTAGCCATCCAGGTTCACATCAAGAAGATTTATCCTGTTCTACTGCCTGGTGTCACTGGAATAGGAAGTGAGGGGGAAAAATCCTCAACAGGGACACAGCAATAAAACTCCTAACAGAGGATCTAACCTTTCCGTACTATATCCAAAAAGACAAAAAAGTTTTGATTGGACTTCTGCTTTTAATAAGGCAAATAGACATTTTGTTAACAGATTTTATTCAGAACAGAGAACAGTCACTAGCGGTGTACCACAAGACTCTGTACTAGGTCCTGTTCTATTTAATGTGTAAATGATATACAGTAACTGAAGGTTTGGTGGACAAGGTATGTCATTTTGCTGGTAACACAAAGGTGTGCAATAGAGTTGACATTCCTGGAGGTGTTTGCAACATAAAACATAATAGGTTTTGCTAGAAGATTGGTCAAAGCAGTGGAAATTGCAGTTTTTTTATTTACATTTTTGAGGTGTATTACTAGAGGGATCACCAGCAGGATGAAGGGGGTCTTGACTCCCCTAAATTGTTAGACCTTATTTAGAAAATTGCATTCAGTTGTGTAGACCTCACTGAACCAAAAAAAGATCAAATCCAGAGAATGAAAATGGTGGAAGGTTTGAGGGATAAAACAGATTGGAAACACAATTGAAGCATTTAAATAGATTATAGTGTGAATATGGTTTGGAAGGCAATATTTTCGATATGAAGTCAAAATCTAGAGAACGGGGACATGACCTCGAAGTAGCAGGAGCAAAGTTTAAAACTTATGTACTGAAAGAGTAGTTGATGCTTCAAACTGATGCAAGGTACAATAAAGTAAGCGGACAGTGCTATCTCATTGCGTTGATTGCTGCAAACATATGGAGGGAAATGTGGTTGCATGGGATTACTGTTCCTTGTATATATTAAGTGTTATTTAATGAAACGCATACGTTGTATCAAGCTCCTTGTCATGCAAAAGTATCAGCCTCTTTGCAACTATGAAAGAAAAAAACTCTTTATCAAGTGAAGCAGCAATGACAGAAATATGGTAGACTTGTTTCAGAAATTACTTTCTCTGGCCGTTGTGCTGATTTTTGTGGTAGTGAATCCCTAACCCAGAGCAAACGGGCATTTAGGGTGACCTGACTTCACTGGCTGAATACTAGTTTTAGGTCACTGGCTCACAAAAAAGTGGGAGTAGATGATGGCTATGACTTTCAGGTTAAAAATATGTTGCCGTTGGCCTGTGTTTTTATCTCTACACATTTTTTTCTTTTGTTTTTTCTACACATTTTCTTTAACCCTTTTGTTTTCTTCACACAGCCTCGGTATTCAGTCAGTATGCAGTAGAAGAGGATTGGTGTCTATCTGTCCTTCAGTCTTATAAGGCAGAGAACTCAGGGCACTTTCCATGGTCTGTAGGTGAGTTCTGACAACTATCAGGATTAAAGCAGCCCTCCAGTATGGGTCTATGACAGCCAGGGTTTAGAGGAAGTGGGTTGAATGATCCTGGGTGTGTGTCAACCTGAATAACTGGTAACATCTAGTGATGAAGTACAGCAGGGGACAGCTTCACATTCAGTATTGCAGCAAATTCTTTTTTTTTTTTTTTTTTTTTTATTAATTAAAGTTCTGATTAAAAAAATGAATTTGTATAAAGGTGACAAAGGATGGCAAGAAGGAGTTTAAGGGGAAGCAGTGTTTATTTTTTAGTATTGGTGGAAGCAGTTTTAAAAGATATTTTACTAAAGGTACTTCTAAAAAATCATCTATCATATGGCATCAGAACCTTGATCACACTATTTTTGTTACTGATCCGCTAACTAGCTGTGTGCAGGTTATGGCAAGACTGGTGGCAGTTACGACCTTATTCTGCAGAAAGTCTTGATGCTTCCAGCTGGATTATGTGCTAAAGAAGAACCCTCTAGGATATTTGTTAAACCATTTATTACCACCAACAGAGAGCCAACTTATGTGCCACGGATGCAAGGGTTTCAAACACCCCCATTCCATAAATAATAACGTTTTAGAACACGCCACGGCCAATTAGAGGACATAAACACAGGTGCTGTGCTTTCTTGTGAGAATAAAACCACATGCAAAACACAGTACATCTGTGATCTGGAGCAGGTGTCCATAAAAAGTTAACACCCCAAACGCAGTGCATTTGCCCACATCGGATTGCATGGTACTTTTGTAATCGGGTTGCAGTGGGCTTTAAAAAGTAGTGCGTGTACTACTTTTGGTGTGGTGGGATGCGATTTTAAATCCTTTAGAATGAATGGGCTGAAATTGCACCGCTTGGGAATTGCACAGGAACACACAGTGGCCCTTAAAAGGAATATGATTGAATATAGAGTAAGCCAAAGTATAAGGTGAACTGCTTATGGTAGGGGAGCTTTTATCACAAGGTGGTTTTATTATGGAAGGTATACGTGGAACACAATTTTGAGGTTTTATGAACTTTATATGTTCAAATGCGGGTATTTGATCCATATTTATCACATGTACGTATATCGTATTTGTATGTACCTATAGCCACAATAATAAGATATCACACCATGTATTGATATGTCTTTGTTCTGTTTAGGAGAGGAAATGAGCAATAGAAGGAAGACAGCAGTTGGCTCTGTATCTTGTATGTATTAATTATGTCACTTATTTGTGTACTCACATTCCATAATCTACCTCTGACTTATCATACTGGCTTCTAATTCACCACAGTCTTATCTGTTCAATTTGTAGTCATGGTAGATTGTGCTCCAAGGAGCAGGGCCCTGCTAACCCTCTTGTATTGAGCTGTATTATTGCTGTATTTGTCTCCATTTTTATTGTAAAGAGCTGAGCAAACTGTTGGCGCTATATAAATCCTGTATAATAATAATATCCATTCCCCTTTCCCTTAAGATGCCATAGAAGACTTGTTCTTCAGTATCAGAAGCATAATCAGTTTGATTTCCACCTATCAACTAATGATTTTTAAATTTGACCACATGAAAGCAATCTTGAAATCCTTCACAATTCCTATAATTAACTGTGCCCAGTCAGTATTAACACTTTCATGTTGTTGCAAAGTAAATTGCAGCATTGTTCACTCATGGACGGTTAATTGCAGACTTTCAAAGAGGTAAATACTGGGATTTGCTGGTGGGGCTGAAAAATAGACTATGCATTTTCGGCCTAAGTCCATGTCAGTACAATTTGAATTAAAGGAAATAAGAGAGGAATATACAGGTCATCATTGCTGAATTCTCGTTTTGCAACATACTTGTTGCCTGGCTTCCATGCTAATGCTTTGGAGTTCTGAGCATTCATACCTAGTAAGAGTGCAGAGATGAGGATTTCTGGAATTTTCATTTTCTGCAGCTTCATAAATTTTAGCCATAGAATGCTCTTTGGAACTCATGCTCTCTTGTTGGGCCTGTGTCGATGGTATATGTTTGACATCAATCTCTGAGCAGAAGCCAGTTGGGCACGTAAAGTTACCCAAACATTTTCTGAAGCTATTCCACATAACTGTACCTGTGCATAGGGGCTTTAGGCGCGTTATTGCTCCCTTACTCATCTCATAGTTTTTTAGTTTTGGGAAGGCCATCTATTTTCAGTATGACTGTGCCCCTGTGCATAAAGCCAGCTCCATAAAGACATGGTTTTACAAGTTTGGTGTGAAGAAAATCAAGTGGTCTGCACAGAGCCCTGACCTCGGTGCTTCTGAACAATTTTGTCCTGAATTGAAACGCTGATTACGATCCAGGTTTTCTCATTTAATATCAGTCCCATATTAATGCCCATAGTTTTGGAAAGGGATGTCCAACAAGCTCATATAGGTGTGATGAACAAACCTTTGAATTTATAAACTTAATCTTATAATTTTTTTTTTCCTGTATAACCAACTTTGCTTTCTCTTTAGGCACAGAAACATCTGAGAAGCTTTGAAGCCACACACTGTACTCCCCTCCCTGCTAGCGCCTTCCACATGCCCTGGACAGTATAATAACCTTGGAGCCTCTATACCATCCACACACTCTGTCTTTGGATTACACCCAGTCGCTATCCTAATACCATTCTCCGCTCCTCGTGAACGGCAGCTAACACCAATGAAATAAAGATGGTCGCCTCTCTACCCATCTCTCATACCTCTTCAGACGTCTGTTTTTTTGTTTTTTAAATAAATGGACTTTTGTTGATCAGGAAAGGGTAAAATTACACCCTGTGATATTTAAGAAAAAAAAAAAGCTATTAAAATGTGAATACTGCTTGTATAATTAGTTTGTCACTGTCGTGGCATGGAGCTAAACCACTGGCTGATCATGGATGTCCCTGCCATGCCGACATTTTTAGTTTGATTCTTATTTTAGACATTGAATACAGGCAAATGCTGCAATGAAATGCCAGTAATATGCACTAGGATGTTTTTTGTGTTCTTGTGCTGTCATAGCTGCTTGTTTGTTTCCACAAGCTGTGATCCAGGTCAAGGGGGTCTTGCAAGCTCTGTGTAGGTTCTCTTTAAAGGTTTTACTGTTTTCATGTAGCTGTGTGGCCAGTCTCTGCTGTTATCATGGATCAGAAATTTTAGGTGTAAACTACAGCCAAGTGTCCTGTAGCTCAACCAGTGAATCTAACCCTCTTCAAGGCAGTCACTCCCAAACACTGTTGACTTGTGGAGGGATTCAGTGCACATACTGAGTAAGGAATCTCGGAGAAAGCGTACAGACTGGGGAAGAAAACTAGGCCAACACAAAATGCACAAGTCACTGTTCTGCCCTGACAGCAGAGATGGCTGTCTTGGAAGATGTTCTTGGCACAGCTAAACTGTAGCATTGTGCAGTAAAGAGTTCTGTACAACATGGGCCTGGTTTACTACAGTGTACCTCCAAATATCCAATTGCCAAGAAAATTGGAAAAACAAAATGAGCGTCTGCTCTTGATTGGATGTTTGCAGGTTCCCCTCACCTCCCTTTTACATTTTAGTAAGTCAGACCTAGGTTCACTTCACCACCCTTTTAGTTGAAATCCATTGCTCTAAGTGGCCACATTGGTAAACGTGAGCTGCACATTAGGCTATGGTGCCATGTGAAATTTTACAGCAAAAACTAGAATGCACAGCCTGCCCAGGTTTCTTCTACTGCTTCAGAATGCAATAGAGCTTACTCAGTCACTCTACAAATAACCTTTATTGCAGAATGAAGTTCTTCAGGACAGGAGCTTGGGTGGGTTCTTCCTTGACTATTAGTTAAGTTTTACATGGAATTGTAACCTGAGGTGAACTTCACCGTCCATCTTCTGTACCACTGGAACCCCTTACATTCAGCATGTATAGTGAAGACTGTGCTTTGGTTTTCAATGGAGTTTAGTGTTGCTGCTCTTTAAAGGCCAGTATAGACATGAGGGTGAACCAAAGCAATGATGAGAAGTGTCCAGTTCTGCACACGTTTGTACTGTTTGATTTTAAAGAGCAGCACTGTGCATTAACCTATAGCAACCATTTTACCTTTCATTCACATTATTGAAAAATGAATTCTGATTGGTTGCTTTTGGTAACTGCACTTCCAAGTGTCGTATCTATCATTTCACATTCGTTTGACATTCCATTATGTGATATGGGAGTTTTTGGCTTTTACTCTCTCAGTAAACTCATGTGCATGTTGTCATCGTTTTGGTGGTTATAGATTATTTTTAATAAATTCTTAGGTGTTCTTTCCACTACAAGCCTTGTGTGTATTGGATTTGGAAGATGTGGTATGTCATGCAGGATTAATTATGTCACCATGTATTGTCGAGAGTCCTGAGCTGGAATAGACATTTATATCCTACACTTGATGGGGATATTTTAGCAAAGGGTGACCGATTAGAAATGATCTTCTGGTATTATTATAATGAGTTCATTGCTTTGGGTTACTATGCATTCAAGATTGCAAGAGAATTCAACATTCCAGATCACCTTGTAATGCAACGTGTAGGGTCTGAAAGTTGAACTGTACAGCCTAGGACTTGAGAAGGAACCACAAAGAGCTCATGGTTTGAAGACCATCCCCACAAGGTCACTGAAGTTCAGTGTTGCCACCTTAGAACTGTTTAGTGTTCCTTTACAATTCTGCATTGCAGTAACCTGTGTTGTGGTACTGTTCATTTTGAGTGGTACTCCCAACACACCTGTGTTGCATTGCATAGCAAGACAAAGAAAGGGTCATGTCCTGTTTTGAGCAAGTCGATTGGGTTGCCTTCTAGTCCAACTCCAGTAATGTTATCACTAAAGTAGTCAGTTCGGGCCAGCAGGACCCAAACACACTATTTCCTTTAATAACAGATGCACAGCTTTGGTCAATGCCATATAATGTGTATGGAGGATCAGCAGCATACAGTATATTGTGTTTCAACACCAGTATGCTGCAGTGTTTCCTATCTGTTAGAACAAAATTGAGTCATGCTGCTCTGCTCAGCCATTCACAGGAAGCCTCGTATTTTTTTTTTCTATTCTTAGAAGGCTTCATCTGAATGGCTGAGGTGTCTTGCAAATGTGTGCAACTAAAACTGTGTTTTAACTCCTTTATGCCGGCGCCTCCTGGACCCTTAAGAGTTCCGGGAGGCGGGCAGGATTTTAGGGTCATGTGACTGACGTGATTCGCTGTCACGGCGGTCACATGATCGGAAAAGGTCCCCATCGCAAAGGGAGATTGGGACCTTTCCGTGAGTCACGGAGACATGTGCTGGGAACGCAGGGCGTGCGCTCTCAGCACATATGTATTTTCTAGTGGCACGCAAATTATTATTATACAGGATTTATATAGCACCAACTGTTTGATCAGCGCTTTACAATATCAGGGAGACAGTACAATTAATAATACATTTCAGTACAGAAGGAAAGTGAGGACCCTGCTCGTAGAGCTTACAATCTAAAGGAAGGGGGAGGGATACAAAAGTTGATAGCTGCAGGGGATGATCTGGTGGAGGGGATTCAAGTACAGTGTGGTATATGTGTTGTATATACAAATATGTGGTCACTCGGCGTCAAGGCTCAGATGCCGAGAGGCCGCATGTTTGCGTGCGCTCAGCATCTAGGGATAAACATGAACTGTTAGACAGGGCTAATTAGGCTTTATTGCAGGCAGGCTAGTAATTGTGCTGGGAGGATTCTGTTGGAGATCATGCCATCATCCTCCAGCCCCCCCATTCCAGCCAATCAGAAGAAGCCTTATATTCATTCATAAAAATACAAAGTTTCCTGTGAATGGCTGAGTAGCCCTCAGTCAAAGTAAATTTTCTTCCAGCAGCAGAAGAATTCACAGCTCTGATGTATCATGTGTTTTTTTCTGGATTTTTGGTTGATATTCTGTCTCTATCATTTAAAATACACCAATGATAAAAAAAAGTATAGACCCTTCATTTCTTTGTAAGTAAACGTATATAATCTGCAGGGGATCAAAAAATGATTTTCCCCACTGTATACCATAGCTTGTAGACACTATAACGGCCGTGCAAACCAATTGATATATGCTTATTGGGGAATTTTTATTTACCAAAAATATGTAGCCGAATACATATTGGTCTAAATTTATGAAAAAATTTGGTTTTTTTTTTCATTCCATGATTGCACAAATGACAGTTAAAGTAGCACAGTGCCAAAAAGCAAAAAATGGCCTGGTCATGAAGGGGGGGCAAATCTTCTGGAGGTCAAGTGGCTAAGGTAAAAAAAAGGTTTTCTATTTCTTTGCCCCTTCCCTGTGTGAAGGGGAAGAGAGTAGAGAATAAATCCACCTCTGTGTACAGCTGCATCTATTCTCCCCTCTCTTGCTCTTCACATGGACTCGAGCAGCGGCAGGAGCCATTTTTTGAGTTTAGGAACACTTTCACACCTAGCAGCTGCATATATGCAGCCGCTAAAACTACCATGCTGAGCGCACTCCCAGCACAGTAGCTGGCAAAGATTGGTAAGCTCCCAACACATACTTGTAATCGGGAGTTTTGTGATCATGTGACAGCCAATCACAGCAGTCACATGACCTGAATGCCTGGCTCTTAGAACCCTTTAAGGGCTGGGAGATTATCCTTTTTCTTTACAAACAACCTGCCACATACAAAATCTTTGACAGGCACAGAGCTTTTTGCATTGAATGCAAGTGGAGTCTGGTACTGTGCTTCGCCTCTGCCTGGGAGGGTTGCTTTCACCTTCATAGTCCCAGAGTGAGGATGTGACCAGCAGGAATTTTGCCACTCCCTGCCTAGCACTTAGCCAATGCACCTTACTAGAGTGCACTAGATACTGTGATTGCCAACTACTGGCATTTTTATGACAGATTCTCCTAAAACACCATCCAAGGGGACTAGAGCTACTCTGCACTTTCTTCAGTCTGTCCCTTGTCCAAGAAAAAGTATACCTTTTTGTACCAGAATTGACCACTTTGTGTCTTCAGTGAATATTTTACTCCCGGTGGGAATGTGTGAGCTGATTACACAAGATGTAACCACCTCAAGCCTGTCCTGGATATACTGAGCACTTCTGAGAATGGGTGTGTGTCCATAATCAGCTTATTTTAATATTGCAATTAAAGTTTATCTAAACCCAAGAACAAAAATGTAATATGTTGCAGCTTACCAGTCCTTGGATGTGGTGGCTTTAGTTTTTTTTTTTTAGGCTAAGAACATTTTTCAAAGTACAGAAAAACACTTGAGTCTTTGTAGTTTTCTGTACACTGAACTGAAATAGCAAACAATGTTATCAGCCTTTCCGACTTTCTCCATCTAGCCCAGCACTCTCTGTCCTAGGGTGGCAATATTGCTCCTCCATAGATACAGTAAAGTGAATGAGCATTGTCACCCTAGGAGAAAGGAGGCGTGTTACTAGCAGGATTACCAGGTGAAAATAAAGGTAAGAAAGACCGAAAAAAAGAAAACTAATGTAGACCCCATATCAAAGGACTGCTGAGCTGTGATATATTACATTTTAACTAGGGTTTAGACATGCTTAAAGCAGATCTCCACCCAAAAGCTGGAGTT